AGCACTGCTGTTTTTTTGCTGATCGTTGCTTGTCTTGAGCTGCTTCCTCAACTCTCAAGATTCTGATGTCTGTTTATGCTCAGAAACTACTGGTCTTTGTGTTATTTTATGATGCAGGGCCCAGAAGTCGTGCAATAATTGCAAAAGTGTTGATTTAATCTAATCTAACTAACAGTCTTTAATAACATGATCCACAATGCAAGCATGCAATTAAATCCAAGTAAGTGCGGGGGTTTTTTGTATAAGGATTATTCCAATATTAAAATATAGTTTATTGGCCTTTGTTAATATGATTAGATTAGCTTTTTGTGGTTGCTGCATTTTTTTGGTTGTTTCAGCTCAAGTGAATCCAGCCGATTCAGAAATTTGCTCTTTTGCACAATCCTGGAGAGAAACAGAACATTCCCATCCTTGCCATACATTTAAAGCAAGTTTAAAGCACATGGCTTTCCCCAAAGAATTATGGGAAGTGTAGTTTGGTAAGGTGCTGGGAATGGTATCTCTGCGAGTGGCAAACTACAGCTCCCATTATTCCTTGGGGAAAGCAATGTTGTTTAAATGTATAGCGTGAATGTGATTATAGTGGGTTCTTCACGATTATGTGAGACATCCTTTGCAACTTGTCTTGATTCTTTTCACACAGCAGTTTGGATGCTAATTCAGTCATCCAGCTTTCCCCTCTTTAAGCAGCACATCTAAGCCCCCTGCCACGACTTAAGCAGCATATCTAAGTTTATATTTTTCCTTTACTGTATTAAAGAACAGCCTCGTAAAGTTGTCATAAAAACAGCTGCAAAAGAACTCTGGAGACTGGGAGGTGGGGCGAAGCATGTTGATGATTGTCACATGCACTAGTCAATCAATGCTATCCATAATAGGCTTTTCCCTACAGTGGTACCTCAGGTTAAGTACTTAATTCATTCCGGAGGTGCGTTCTTAACCTGAAACTGTTCTTAACCTGAAGCACCACTTTAGCTAATGGGGCCTCCTGCTGCTGCTGCGCCGCCGGAGCATGATTTCTGTTCTCATCCTGAAGCAAAGTTCTTAACCTGAAGCACTATTTCTGGGTTAGCGGAGTCTGTAACCTGAAGCATATGTAACCTGAAACGTATGTAACCCGAGGTACCACTGTATTCCAATTGATATCCTTTGAAACACATTTGCTTTGAATTGTACCTGCTGAGGTACTGCTTTGCTGCAATAGTACTAAGGTAAAGGTAAAGGTACCCCTGCCCGTACGGGCCAGTCTTGACAGACTCTAGGGTTGTGCGCCCATCTCACTCAAGAGGCCGGGGGGCCAGCGCTGTCCGCAGACACTTCCGGGTCACGTGGCCAGCGTGACAAGCTGCATCTGGCGAGCCAGAGCCGCACACGGAAACGCCGTTTACCTTCCCGCTAGTAAGCGGTCCCTATTTATCTACTTGCACCCGGGGGTGCTTTCGAACTGCTAGGTTGGCAGGCACTGGGACCGAACGACGGGAGCGCACCCCGCCGCGGGGATTCGAACCGCCGACCATGCGATCGGCAAGCCCTAGGCGTTGAGGCTTTTACCCACAGCGCCACCCGCGTCCCCCACCCGCGTCGCCACCCGCAATAGTGCTACCTCACAATAAAAGGAAATGGGTAATTAAGCCTTCTGCAGAGCACAGGAACTCATTAATCAGACAACAACAACAACAACAACAACAACAACAACAACAACAACAACAACATGCCGTCCATCTGACAGGATTGCCCCAGCCACTCTGGATGGCTCCCAACAAAATATTAAGAAGACAATAAAACATCAAACACTAAAAGCTTCCATATACAGGGCTGCCTTCAGAGGTTGTCTAAAAATCAAACAGTTGTTTATTTCCTTGACATCTGAGGGGAGGGCATTCCACAGGGTGTGCAATTCCTGAAGGCGCAATTCATCAGTAATTCACAGACATATTGAGGCAATTGGAGATGGAGGAAGCTTCTAACGAAAGGCACACAAGCCCTAAAATGCCTCAGTAGTTCTTGGCACATCCACACGGGATAAGCAGGCACTGCAATTGCAAGGTGGAAATCAGGCCTGAAAAAAGTCACGAGGATGGCCAGGTTACAAAGTGAATGATCCCTGCTGCTGCACTTCGAAAACGTTTTTGACTAATTATATTCAAGATTATATGTAAGGAAAATACATATATTATATTATATTATATTATAGTACATTTAAAAGAATCAAGTGTCATACTGTAGTACATCTTGCAGCATAATATTAGAACATAGAATAATAGAATTGCAGAGTTGGAAGGGACCCTCAGGGTCATCTAGTCCAGCCCCTTGCAATGCAGGAATCTCAGCTAAAGCATCCATGACAGATGGCCATCCAACCTCTGTTAAAAAATCTCCAAAGAAGGATAGTCCACCACCTCTCACTGCTGAACAGCTCTTACTGTCAGAAAGTTTTTCCGCAAGTTTAGTCAGAATCACCTTTCTTGCAACTCGAAGCCATTGGTTCGAGTCCTACGCTCCAGAGCAGGAGAAAACAAACATGCTCCCTCCTCCATGTGACAGACCTTCAGATATTTGAAGATGGCTATCATATCCCCTCTCAGTCTCCTCTTTTCCAGGCTAAACATACACAGTTCCTTCAACCATTCCCCATAAGGCTTAGTTTCCAGACCCTTGATCATCATCCTCTGCACGCTTTCCAGCTTGTCAACATCCTTCTTAAATTGTGGTGCCCAGAACTGGACACAGTATTCCAAGCGTGGTCTGACTAAGGCAGAAGAGAGTGGGACTATTATTTCCCTTGATCTGGACACTATACTTCTGTTGATGCAGCCTAGAATAGCATTAGCTTTTTTTGCTGCTGCATCACACTGTTGACTCATGTGAAGCTTGTGGTTCACCAAGACCCCTAGATCTTTTTCACATGAACTGCTAGTAAGCCAGGTGTCCCCCATCCTATATTTGTGCATCTGGTTCTTCCTGCCTAAGTGCAGAATCTTACATTTGTCCCTATTGACATTCATTTTGTTATCTTGTGCCCAGTTCTCCAATCTATTAAGATCATTTTGAATTCTGATTCTCTCTTCTGAGGCATTAGCTACCCCTCCCAGTTTATGAGCATCCCCTCAATTCCTTCATCCAAGTCATTTATAAAGATGTTGAACAACAACGGGCCCAGGACAGAACCCTGCGGCACCCCACTTGTCACTTTTTTCTTAGTGATATACGTGGTACTTCCCCCTCCCCTTTTATCTTCCCCTCCAACCCTGTCAAATGCGTTATTTATCAGATTTGGTTTCTATTTTTTGCAATCATAAGTACAGTTCTCCACATTGGTCAGTGAACTCTGTAAAAAAACCTTCTCAAGAAAATTTGACAGCATTATTTAGTGTATTCTTCCTACTGTACACATTTTTTTTACAAGCGATTCCGCCTAATATATTTTCCATGTTATTTTCACTGATATACGCATTGTTAAATTTACCCTAGTATATGCATTTTCGTAACACTTTTCTTGGCTGGAGAAGTGCATTGCAAAATTTGGGAAAACGTGAATTTCAAAGGATGACTGTGCTTTGGTTCACATGTTGCTCCAGGAAGTACAAATTAAGCAGATTCATCTTTAAATGTGGACTGAACTGAATTTTCCCCCCATCCTTAGCTGAAAGACAGTGACTGGCCCAAAATGCTAGTGGGGACACTCTCTCTCTCTCTCTCTCTCTCTCTCTATATATATATATATATATAACACAGGTGTGGAAGTGTGGGGAACTGAATTTAAGATTAGAAGAATGAGAAACCGAGAGAAATCAAAATGGGCAGACTTGCCCAGCCCCAGTTGAGGATAATTTTATTATGCTAGCACAGGGATGTAGAATCTGCAGGAGATAAATCTTTCAAACAAATAAATACATTAGCTGTGGCATGCAGAAATCTGAGAAGGCAAGCCAGATTTACAGACAGGGAGAGGAAAATAATACTGCCTTACCTTGCTGGATTTTTGTCAGATGTACTGAGATAAATTCCCACAGCCCACATAACACTGTGCGCATCATCTATAGGACCCCAAAGCAGATGTGCATGGCTGTGGGCTGCAATACTATGTGCTGCATGGTTCATCCAGGGGAAAGATCGTCATTCTCATGCAGATGTTATACGCCACCTAACAACTGAAAACACCCGGATCCTGGCTCTTTTTCTACTTTCTACTTTCCCCATTAAAATATGTATTTATCTTTTTATCCGTTTCATAAAATTTATACACTGCTTGATTGCGAAATAAACTCAAAACAGTTTACAAAAAAGGTTTTTTAAAAAATTCCAGTAAGAAAAATTAATAGCAGTTATCTGAGACTTTAAGAAAGTTTAAAAACCAACGGACTGAAAAACAGATTAAAACTCGCATCAGCTTCCTAAACACCTTTCTACAGCATCAGCAGGAAACATTCGTGTGACTGTCAAGGCAAGCTAGCCTCCATTGTTTCCTGCTGTGCTCTGGTTGCCTATGGAATTCACACAACCACGAGATGTTACAACGGTCATCATGTTAGATGCCTTCAGATGCCTAGATTTTTTTAAAAAAACCACCTCCCCATAATAACGAAGGCGGTGGCTTCTGTGATGGTCACCTTAGCTCTTCTGCATCGCCAGGACCAGGGTGAGAAGAAAGTACTTGGCAGGGCAGGATAGCATCACAGCAGGGAGATGTGGGCAACTATATATACTGCGCAAAGGGTGGAACAAATTGTGAACTGGAGGCAGACCTTTTTGGAGATCTTTCTCTCCGGGTGGCCTGATTCCAAGCAGTGCTAGAAAAGGAGCCTGACAACGGTTGCAGGTGCTTTGGAGATCCCAGTACACAAAACAGAAGGAGCAGGATTGCTCTGATAGTTGCGCATGGTAAGGAGCCCAAGGGAGTTGCCCTCCTTGTCTAAACATGTGTGATGGATAAACACAGGGCGATTGATCAAGGGAAGATGGGCAGATAAGGCACATTTGACTCATAGCCCAGGCAGCAGCGGCAGCAACCGCAGACGCATCTTCTTACTGCCGAATCTCTGCGGCTGCAAGTGCTTCTTTCCTCCCAGGACCTGCAGGTGACTATGCCCTTGTGTGAGTGAGGTGAGGAGCTGGGGGAAAACCCAAAGGCAGCAGGTTGAGGGGCCCGTCCAGGCCAGTGCTTTCTTGCGGCTTTATTTTGAGACATGTTCTTGACACAACCGTAGTGCATTAGTAGTGGGTTTATTCTGCTTTTATTCTTTATTCTGAGATGCTTCCCCAATCCCACCATATCATTATTGCTATCTGGAGGGGGCATAGTGGAACAAAAGTGGGTTCAGGGGCATTTTCTCTCTTGGATTCCGTCCCCTGTTCTACAAAAAGAAAAACTCTGCAGTTTAGAGAGAATAATACTGTTTGAGAAATTCAAGCATTCAAAACATTTGCTGTAATTTCACACTGAGAAATGAATTATCGCTTGGAATAATCCCAAATAACACACACACACACACACACTGTAAGACGGCAACTTGTGTGCATTTAACTTTACACACACGGCGAAAAAGGCGGGGAGGTTGGAAGGGGGTAGGGTTCTGGGGAAAATGACTTTGAACCCAATGGGCTTTGACCATAAGCGATTTTGGCTTTAGGTCCAATGCCTGGAACGTAATGCCTGCGTAAGGTGCAGTCTTACTGTGTATAAAATCTTGCTCTTCGCTTAAAAGAGGGTAGAGCAGTCAGGAAAGGTCAACCTGATAGTTAGAGATAATGCAGGACTTTCAAATGCATATTTCTGCTATTTGTATAACCGAGGCTGCTGCATAGATGGAAGTGCATCTCTGACAAATAAAAGAAAATCAGCATTTTTTATGGGTTTCTGCCAAAAGATTTGACATATCCCTTTACTGCAATTTCAAATGATATATTTGGAATAGAGCTGTGCCAAAAATGTCCCCCCCAAAAAAAAATTCAACCATTTGCCAGGGCGGGAGACGAAACTCTTCTGAAAAGTTGTGGTGGATGAGGGGGGAGAGATGTATCTGAAATATTGAGGAGAAGGTTGTTTCTTACTATACTTAATCTTAGGATATTTCCCCTTGTTGTTTTTTTTAACTTTCAGATTTATAGTTAGGTGTAGGCAGGTTGGCATGACATGGCCAGAACGCCTTGGAGGGCCTAATTAATCCCACAAGCCATAGATTCCCTCATGTGAACCTGCCTGGATTTTGAGATATTCAGGGGAATCTTTTCTCTCAGTCCTGACGCCCTCTCAGGTATGACTGGAAGGGAAGCGGGAAGTGGCTTTCTCGGTAGCTGCACCCAAACTTGGGAATTCCCACCCTAGATAAGTCAGACTGGCTCCCTCCTTGTTGTCCTTCCACTGGCAAGTGAAGACCTTATTTCAACAGGCTTTTGAGAATGGACTGCTTTTCATGAAAGAGCTGGTTCTCTGCTGTCTTTATTGTAAAGATCTGTATGTTTTTAATAGATATGCTTCATTCTTTTTTTAAAATATATTGTTCCCCTACCCCCATATTTTTAGCTGTTTTTCTTTTATTTGTAAACTGCCACTAGTACCTGTCAGAGAAAAAGGCAGGGTATAAATAGATATAATTTAAAGAAATAGCCTTTGCCACTCAAAGCTGAGGGAAGTTCTCTTTGCAGCCACTTTCCAGAGGCACTTCATGGGATATCTGGGGAGTTATAGCATGCTGCATTGCTTTGTGTCGCTCCCAAGGCATTTTGGGGTTTGTGGTCAGTGGAAAGCGCTGCCAGGCTCTCCCAACAGCTTCTTGTCCACTGCAGAAGGGACAAATCACCTCCCGAAATGTTTCATGGGGAAATGTCCCCCTCCCATTTTTCACAGGGAGGGGCAAAATTTCTGTTTGAAAAGAGAAGGTATTTCATCTCAGCTTTGCTTTGGAGATGAATCCTCTTTTCTGCTTCCAGCATTTTGATATTTATAAGACTGACCTCAACCCACCCACGATCCCGACCCCTTGCTCAGAGTTTTCCCTGTTTGTAGTTAATGTCTTCTTCCTTTCTTTTCTGTGTGGGCCTTTCTGGAAATCGTGTTTGACTCATCAGCTGTCACTCAACGGGTCTCACTAGCGCTTCCATGGTGTGGGGCTCTTAGGCTGGTATTCAAAGCTAGTCCTACTCAGAGCAGACCCGCTGGTGTTAATAAACTTAGGCTCATTCATTTTCCTTGGGTTCTGCTCTTAAGTGGGGCTGCAGTGACTACAGTCCTTAAATGTCCTGCCCTGTAATCTTTAATTCAGCTGTTGAGAAAGAGTGATTAAAAAAAAAAGTTTTCAGGGTTTGCAAGTGTTCCCTCCCGATCTTTCTTTCTTTCTTTCTTTTTGAGGTGGCCAGGGGGTCTCATTGTTCAGAGGGCAAACACGGAGCCAGATGTGGTTTGGCTCAATAGTCGGTGGCTCCTCCTCCTCCTGCTGCCACCGCTGGCTGGGGGCCAACTTCTTCCATCTTTTCCTTGCACATCAGGAAGAGCGGGAGGACGGAGGTTGCCAGCCACTGGGACCTCGCTGCCACCACGTTCGGTTCCACACACCCTGGCTTTGCACCTCAGGACATCGTGTGATGTCATGCACGTGACATCAGGACGTCGTGTCAGGCCCCCGCAGTGTTTTTGAGAAGTTGACGCCTCTGCATCCTACATTTCTTCCATTATGAAACCCAGCGAAGCATAGATGTGTTTCCCAAGCACTGTACAGACCCAGACCCAACTAGCTTTTCTGCAAGGTTGTGACCTCATGTATGGGGTGTGGGTCTTTCCTGGTTTTTACCCACCAAATGCTGTGTGTTGTTTCTTGTTTTTAGCAGTGGAACACGTCTCTCCCAGTCGGAAAGAAACCTTGACGCACTTCTGACAGAAGGCTAGTCCTACTCCTTTGCATTTAGTTGGGATGGGGTTGCAGAGCCATTACCGCAGCACCCCATTGAAGGCAGTAGTGCTACTTCAGTAGCAGCAATGGGAAAAGCTATTAGGGTGGTCTTTAAAGGCCCCTGCCTCTGTCCCCTCTTTCTCCCCAAATTCAGATGTGTGAATTGATGCTCACACTTTGTAATTAGTGCCTTGCTCTGGAGCACAGTGATGATAAGATAACTGGATTGAAGCCAAAGAATTCAGATATAATGCAAGCAATTCAATTTAGCTGGGTTGTAGATCAGACTGTGTTTACCTGGTAGTGTTGACGTTCTTTTGTATTTAAGCCAAGACAGCTGCAAAGTCATGGGGGCCCAGAGGTTGCTAGAATCATTCAGCTTGCCATTCGGAAGCATGGCAAAATCGCCTTCACCTCAGTCTCTGCTGGAGGACAGCTCAGACTGGCCTAGTAAGGACCATGCCAGGACCAAGGGTCGCAGCCAAGCCAAGAGTTTCCTTCCTCCTGATTCCAGGGGCTGATCATCAGCAGGCTGGTTGTGTGGGCGGGTGCAGAACCCACATAACTGGATCCTTCTGCTTCTAGACAATGTCAAGGAAGGTGGGGCCAGCTTGGATTTAAGGGTGATGAATTCGGTGACAATAAACTGCTTTCGATCCAACAGCACTGCCAACAACAAGACAGACACATGCAGGTGGCATCTACTCCCTGCAGGGCCATGAGGCTTCTGGCGATGGTGGTTCTTCTGCTGACTCTTACAGGTAGGGAAGTATCACCTGGGCATACGGCTGAAAGTATGGCTTGAAGATCAGGGGTCAGTGCATGTCCTTCCTTCAGATTGCCAAAAGTGGTCCTGAGGAAATAGGAGAATCTCATGCTTTCTGCAGCCAAGCACCGCCGCTGGTGCCCCTCTGTAGAGTACCCTCCTTTGTCCTTCTTACCTGGCATGCATTATCGTTTGCTTGTTTGTTAGGCACCAGGCAAAGAAGACCTTTTTGTTCTCCCAAGTTCTCTCCCACATCACTTTTAGTGCTTTTACAACCTTCTAAAGGCTGCTGGACTCCAACTCCCATCAGCCCCAGCCTAGTCAATGACTGGGAATGATGGGAGTTGTAGTTCATCAACATCTGGAGGATGGCCAGTTCCTCATTCCTATTTTATATCTTTGCACTTACCGTAATTATTATCTTCATTTGCTTTAAATTTGTTTTTAATTGCTGTGCTTGCATTGGCTTTAGCTGTTTAGAGTTTTAAAAAATAACTGTTTTTTGGAGGGTGTTATCATGTAAACTTTGCATTGTATTTTGTCATCAACCCAGATGATGATGATTAATACCCCAGCCACTGGGCAGCTCCCAGCAGAATAGTAAAAACATGATAAAACATTAAAAACCTCCCTATACAGGGCTGCTTTCAGATGTCTTCTAAATGTTATGTAATTACTCATCTCCTTAACATCAGATGAGAGGGCATTTCACAGGGTGGGTGCCACTACCAAGAAGGCCCTCTGCCTGGTTCCCTGTAACTTTGCTTCTTGCAGTGAGGGAACCACCAGAAAGCCCTCAGAGGAGGGCCTCAGTATCCAGGCTGAGCAACCTCGGGGCTCATCCAGACTTCATTTTCTGCCGCATTTCTAGGCACAGGTTCAAGCTTTAAAGCTCCTTCTCCAGAGCACTGTTTTTCTTTTGCCCCAGTGTTTTCCCCTGTGAAAATCTGCTGTTTACAGCTGAATCAGACCAAATTGCTGTTAGTTCCAATTCAGCTTTAAGGAGCGAGATTTCCCAGGGAAAACAGAAGTGCAAAAAATAAAAGTGCTTGGACTTTGAGCTTTAAAGTGCATATCTGTGCTTAGCAAATATGAGGCAAAACGAGCGTGTGGATGAGCGTTTATGGTTATGAAGGCGGTGTTCCATAAATGTAATAGATAAATAGATTCTGAAGCACTGCCATAGGATTTCTATACATTCATGTGGGCCAGGGATCAGGGACTTCAAACCTGGTGACTCTGTGTAGTCTATCCAAGCCCTGTCCCTCTTGCTAACCCTGCTCCTGGAGGGCTTTTGGCTGACCTGGTTGTGTCCTTGCTTGCCCGGATGAAGAGAAGCATGCGTAGAGGGAAGTGCAGAAACAGCTGACTTTTGCAAGGCTGGAAAAATTGCCCTCTACACAAAACACAGAGTCACATCTGTAACTCCACCCACTTTCACCTTTGGCCCCAACCACCAGCAGCATAATGGCATACATGGAAGACTGCCTATGGGGGAATGCAGACCTAAGACTGAAAGAGGTTCCTCCCTCTTTTAACTAAGCTGGGATCCTTGCCGCTTAGCCGCTATGACATCGCTAAGTATGGTGGAAGCTATCTCTCACCTTGGCTGGTTTTCCTCCGCAGCGTCTGCGCAGGATGAGTCGCGGATCATCGGGGGCCAAGACTGCGCCCTAGGTGAACAGCGCTACCAGGTTGTCCTCTCCAATAGCAAGAGAAATGGGCCAGATATTCTGTGCGGAGGCGTTCTGATAGACAAGTACTGGGTTCTTACCGCTGCTCACTGTAACCAACAGGGGTAAGGAAACTCAAGATTGCTGATCCTGGGAGAAGGGCAAGTTGGGAAGGGCTTTGGGATTATAAGCATCTCTGGAGCAGTTTTAATGTTGCATTGTAGCCAATGTTGCGGAAATGGAAGGTGTATCTTGCAGGGGAGCTTTCTGTTCACTTCCTTCCCTCCACAACCCTCTTAATGCCCCCTCCTCCTGCTGCACCATACAACTCAGCCCACAATGTTCTCCTGTTCTTATTATTAAATAGGTATCAGACTGCGACCTGAGACGTCTAGGAAGTTTGCAGGTAGACAGTCCTGTAAATACACAAAATCTAACCCAGACACCCCAAAAAAATAATTATCCAAAGGGATCTTGGTTGACCTTTTCCCATTATTGGTTTCCCACACAAACACAGCAGGTATTGCTCCAGAAGCCATCTTGTGGTTGTAAAATGAAACGGTGGGACTTTCAGAGCTTTAATCTCAGATACTAATGAGTGAGTGGGAAGGGAATGGTTTTTTAGGTGCGTGTGACACTCCAGTGGTCTCAGATCTTGGCTGCATTTGGACGATCATGCCTTAGGAATCCTTCAATGAAATGTGAAAATATCCAGTCAAACCATAGTTTCCTGTGTTGCCCAAACCAAGAAACTATGCAGCAAGCTGGGATATTAAACAACAGTTTAATATCCTGGCTTGAACAAAAGCTCTTAAGTATAGTATTCTGCTTTGAATTAAAAGGAAATCATGTTTAATTGGTGGCTGCTGGATGCTATGAAGAGAAGAGCGAGGGGGCCGCATTGCTTTGCTTTTTTTTTTTTTTACACCTCAGCCTATTAAAATTAGATTAAATGTGGCTGCTGTTATCCTATATGCCTGGAATTAAGTTCTATTGAAGTAAATAGACCTTCTTTCTGGTGCATTGGGGCAGGTGACAAAACCACCTCATCCTCCAACCAGGTACAAGATTGAAGGTTTGATAGGGGATCCACTGTTCCACCCAGACTAACCCCCTAAATTGTCTAAACTCATAACAATGTATATAAAAAGATTTATAGGCCGCTTAATGACAAAACTCTCTAAGAAAAGTATAAAAACAACAACAACAAAGTATACACACAATAAGACAAGTAAAAACAAAGATGACTATGAGAAACATAGATGACTAAATTACATGCCTGAGTAGGCTTGCTAATATACAAAAGGTGTTGGCTACAATGTAACCAGGGTGTGCATGCGCGCACACACACACACACACACACACACACACACACATATATATATATATATATATATATATATATATATATATATGCTTTCGTAGATTTTCACGGGTACAGGAATGCAGGTTTTGGTGTCCTCGGGTGTCTTCCCGTGTAAAAGTTGGGGTGTCTAGGCGACGTCTGAGATCCTGCTCTGTTCCAGTAACAAGAAGCCGAAAGCACCAGCCTGAAGATGACGAGTGAGACCTCGTCGAAACGTCGCCTAGACACCCCAACTTTTACACGGGAAGACACCCGAGGACACCAAAACCTGCATATATATATATATATATATATTCTATTATTTAATGTGGATAGTAGCTTCCTGTAACTATTAATTGTTCATACTGTTAGGTTGTTCTTGGTAAAATAGAAAGGAGAATTCCCTGGATGCCTAGATCCAGGTTTGGGGCAAGTAATCTTTGATGAGAGGGCCCCAGCAGAGATTTGAAATAACAAAATATGCGGCAAAGCAAAGCATGGAAATATAGACTGTTAAGACTTTAAAAATATCCCCTTCTATGTTTCTTCCAAAGCTCCCAACTTCCCTTAGCATAGAAAGAAATCACACATTTGGTAAGTTTAAAATTGTTTACTTACAAACTGTTCAAAGGTCAGATTCATGAGTTTGTCTACACAGCAGCAAGAAAAGACAGGCAGCAAACCTTAGGCTAGTTTCAAAGTGGTAAATGTTTCTAAGTTATTTGTATAGAAACACAAAGATGGCTTACTAAGGCTGTGTGGTCTAAGCTTGCAACATCCAGCTAAGACATCCTTACTGGTAGGTTCACATGGTGGAAAGTGGGAGAACAAAGAGTTTGGTAATCTGTGCTTCCAAGGTGAGGGGGAGCGACCTAGCTAAGCCTGTCAGGACAACTTACTCTATGGTCTTAACCCCTTCATGTATTAAGCATGTTGGTTATATGAGGCTGATTTATCCCACACACATGATGTTTTCCTCCCAATCACTATCTTCTCATACCTTCCCCTCCCTCAATCCAGATTTTTCATAACAGGGATGCTCTGAAAAGGGGAAGATAAGGAGATCTGGGCAGAGGGAAGGGGAAGTGTGGGGAGGCAGTTATTTGGAGGAAAACATCATGTGGACAATGGAGAATTAATGGAGGTACAGGAAGCTTGCTTATACACTTCAAACAGTATGAATGAGACTAAATACAAAGAACAGCTGTACATGGCTTAATCTTTGATTTATTGGGATCAGTGGATAGTTGTAGAATATGCCCTCCTCTATACGAATCTGTCATAAACAAGAGCAGAAATTTGAGAGTGAGAGCATTCACGTCAGAGCGAGGAGGGTCTGTCAATTAACCAGGAAGATGATGCCATCATTCCTGCTCTGAAAAAAATGCCCTTCCTCTTCACCACATTCCTACTCTGCGGCACCTTGGTCAAAAAGGATGATGAGGCATTTGGAAGACAAGTCTTGCAGGAAACGGTTTACAGAAGACCTCACCATGTTTACCTTGGAGAGGGAAGAGGATTACAGTTTCCTAAGACGCTACCATAAAGGGAGGGTGACTGTTTTAGCCTTTTAGCTGGTTACCCACAAGGAGACAAGGAGTCTCGGCGCCATCCCTTCTTCTCTTATTGCCTCACTGGAGGGCCTTCCATGAGTCAGTGTTGTTTAGTGCTCAGATACTTCATGCATACGTAGTCATCAGGTAATATGGACAGAGCAGTAATCAGAGCAGTAATCTTGCAGATCATCTTGTAAACTGAGCATTTTTTTTAAAAAAAGTTGCTTACTCATGGAAATGACTCAAAGCAACTTATAAACACACTTCTCATGAGCCTGCCGCAACAGCAACAGCGGTCCAAACTTCTCACTTAACAAACATCCTTAAAAAGCACTTGTCTTCCTGTCCCCATGGAAAATGTATCCTTATAGTTTCACTTTTTAAAAGAAAAGTGACTCTCATTAGGTTTTTCAGTAATGAAGTCTGAAGTTCCACTTTATTCATTATTGTTTATTATTGATTTGTTAAATTTACATCCTGATTTTCCTTCAAGGATCTTTATTTTATCCTCACAACAATTCAGTGAGGTTGTTTGGCAGAGAGACACTTCGCTTCATGGCTGATTTGGGATTTTAAACCTGTAAATACCACACCAGGCTTGTGCTACCTATAGATAAATCTATCTATTTCTCTATCCCATGGGAGAGGAGGGGAAGAAGGTGTGGTAGTGAAACACTGGTATTGAACACATTACTTTGTGGGAGAACTGTACTGCAAAATCTGGAGGAAAAGGAATTTTGAGGGATGACTCTGTTTTGGTTCGGTGCGTTGTTTCAAGAACTACGGATCAAGTCGATTTGCCTTTAAATGTGAACTAAACCAAACATGCCCACATTTCATTAGATGCCAGGAGTGGACACCCACCCTTCTTCCCATTCTGAGCAGAGGAGAAGTGCAAAGAGTTTAACTCTGTGAGCGAGAGGCCACCATTTTGTGTTATGCTACACACCCGCACGGCAGCCATTTTCTAACTGGCACTAGATTATCTCCAAGATCTCTTCCAGCTCTGATTCTGGGGTGTTATGGAAAGGTCAAGTGATTATCCCATTATTGTGGTTGAAATGCTTCCTCTCTGAAGTTCAGTGCCCTGTGATTTAAATTTTCATGGAGAACAGGCCTACTCCTCTCTGTGGCATAGCTGTCAATGTTTTCCTTTTTTTAAGGGAAATTCCCTTATTCTGAATAGGATTCCTCGCAAGAAAAGGGAAAAGTTGACAGCTATGCTCCACAGCTGGCCACGTCTACAAGCGGTGGCTTCTCTGGGAGACAGGACGGAGGTCTAGATGGATCTTTGGAATGGTAGCAGGATTCTTCTTAGATTTATGTTCTTACGGCTTTTCTTTCTTTTCTTTTTCTCCTCCCCCTCTCCTTCCTGTTCTCATCCTATGCAGGGTCATCCACACAAGGATGGGTGATCACAGCCTCAGGGCGAACGAGGGCTCGGAGCAGTGCATCACATCTGCACAGAAATTCCCACACCCCAACTACAATCCCACCACACATGACAGCGACATCATGTTGATACGACTGAGCAATCCCGCCTTCATCAATGAATATGTCAGGCCTATTCAGCTGGCTACCCAATGTGTTCAGCCTAACACTCGGTGCCAGGTGTCAGGCTGGGGGACCACGACAACCCCTCAATGTACAGTAGATAATTTTCAATACATACCAGGGGCATGGATGTGGTGGGTGTAGAGTTGATGGCCGCAGCCTGCTCATGCAGTCTCCATCGACACATTTTCCACCTGCACAAAGCATTATACCTCCCCACTATTTCTCATTCATATTTTCTCTCTGTCTTTTGCGCAACTTTTAAATTTTCACCCTAATTGTCACGCCCTGCCCCAGATCTCCATGTATTTCAATGTCTGTCGCCCAGTTTTGTTTTGTTTCTAAGAATAATCATCAGTTAATCATTGGGGTTCATTAAATGTGTGGAAATTTGCATGTGGGTAGAAAAACGAAAGTAAGCAGCATACAGTGGTGCCTCGCAAGACGAAATTAATTCGTTCCGCAAGTCTCTTCGTCTTGCGGTTTTTTCGTCTTGCGATGCACGGTTTCCCATAGGAATGCATTCAAAATCAATTAATGCGTTCCTAGGGAAACCGCCTTCAGACCAGGTCCGGGGACAGTCCGACCCCCAGCAGAGGTCCTCTTCTGAAGGCCGGCTGTGGGCGAAAGTCTTTGCTCCCGACCGCCAGCATTTCCCTATGGGCTTTCGTCTTGCGATGCAAGCCCATAGGGAAATTCGTCTTGCGAAGCGCCTCCAAAACAGAAAACCCTTTCGTCTTGCGGGTTTTCCGTCTTGCGAGGCATTCGTCTTGCGGGGTACCACTGTACTTTATAAATTATGCATGAAGCTGAAGAGGTATTCTCCTAATAGGGGGATTCCCTCTTGAGAGCATTCCATCCTACGATTGTCTCTTAAGATGCATTCCATCTAGAGAGAAAAAGTATTCTTTTCCAGGAGTCCTCTTTAAAAGAGGAGGCATCCATTCTGTGATTCCCTCTTAAGCTGAAGAGGCATTCTTACCTATGTGAAAGTAAAGTGTGGTGCCTCTTTTAAGATGGTGGCTGTCATCTGCAGGGTTTTTTTTAATTAATATGTGTAGTTTTTTAAAAATGAAAAATATGCTGGGTAGTTTTTGTGGTGGTTTTGGTTTTGTTTTTTTTTTTTGGTAAATTAAACTTTTTCTTCATTGAGTAAACTAATGGATCAATTAGCCACAACGCTAATTATTTCCCTTTCATATCTTCTGCTATAGCTATTCTCTCAAATTTCAGAGCGCTTCCAGTCACGAAGGGGTGATTTCAGTGCTGTTAAGAGTCCAGATTCAAATTTACCCAATGCAAAAAATCCTTCTTGGTGTGAGGCTCTGATTTGCTTTGCTTCCCAATTTCAGTTATAGCTTTTGAGAGTCATCAAAGTCTCCAACTGGCCATCTTGGTACCAAGTACCCTCTGGCTCTTGACGTTATCAGTCATCTGCCCTAGGTATGCAGCAGAACAAAGAGAACCAATATCCTGACTGATCTTCAGAAGAGAATGCCAGCATTCTCTTTTAGGGAAATTGCAAATATATATTTGAGGATCAAATTTGCATGCCCTGTGTAGCCCCTGCAAAATGGGTTGTGTTCAATGTTAGTCCTACACAGAGTAGACCCACTGATATTAATGGCCATGACGAACTTCGGTTCATTAATTTTGATGGGTCCAGTCTAAGTAGAAATTGGTTGGATGCAGTCCAATGTGTTTATTTACCTGTATACAGGTAGGTGGAGCTTCAACATTAAACTACCAAAACAAAAAAATTCCTTCCAGTAGCACCTTAAAGACCAACTAAGTTAGTTCTTGGTATGAGCTTTCGTGTGCATGCACACTTCTTCAGATACACACAATCTGAAGAAGTGTGCATGCACACGAACATACACACAATCTGAAGAAGTGTGCATGCACAGTGTGTATCTGAAGAAGTGTGCATGCACAGTGTGTATCTGAAGAAGTGTGCATGCACACGAAAGCTCATACCAAGAACTAACACATTAAACTACCAAGTACACCAAACGTCCAAAGGTTCACTGCTCCAGATCTCCTGGCCTGCATCTATTTATTTGTTTGTTTGAAGTTAACAGAACACGACGACTAACAATCAAAACCAACAGTTATTTATATTTTTGAAAGTTGTTTGTTCACTATGCCTCTTGAAATATTATAACCAGTATGAACAAGGTGGCTCCTGAGATCAAGCAGGTTCTTGCCTGTGTTTGGACACAGTTGGATGCCATCTTGAAACACGGCTGAATCTTTGAAAACTGCATTGATTTCAACCACTGATTTCAAAACTGCTCTGATTATTTGGTTTCTTACCATTCCCGAGTAATGCCATATAGGAAGCCGATAGTGAAATATAAAATGATCCACGGGTCAACTTAGGCTGGGGCTCATGGTAAAAGTGGCGGTTTTCTCTCCAGTGTCGCCAGCACCTCCATAAAACCATCGGTGTTCTTTGTTTGCAGCACAGTTTCCTGACATCCTGCAGTGTGCCCAGGTCTACACAATTTCAAATGAAGAGTGCAACCAGGCATACCCCAATGGTATCACGGAAAACATGTTGTGCGCTGGTGTGAGCAGAGGCGGCGTAGACTCCTGCCAGGTGAGAGGCTTTCCCCTATTGGCCAAAACCCCCCACAAAATAATAAAGATATTTGCCAGAACACTAGTTCAAAGCGGTTTCAGGTGGTCCATACCTGGGCCCCTCAAAATGGCGCACAACGTCATCTTCCACCCCTGGTGCCCACCAAGGCCCCTGGCGTTTTGGGGAGGAGAAGCTGAGGGAGTTTTGGCTTTCCTTGTCGTTGTCCTTTTCTCGTTGCTTTATCTTTTGATTCAGGAGTTTGGGATAGAAATAGTCTAAATAAGTATGTGAATAATTCTGCTCGGCAGGGCGACTCCGGTGGGCCCCTGGTGTGCAACGGGAAACTCGAAGGCATCGTCTCGTGGGGGATGCAGATCTGCGCACAGTCTGGCAAGCCCGGGGTCTACACAAAAATCTGCCGATTCACCGACTGGATTCAGAGCGTCATACGAAACAACTCAGTCAACCGTGCTGCAGACACTTGTTAGTGCCATGGGGAGATGCTACCGCACCGGGACCTTGATCTCAAAATAAAGATAAGAAAGCCGAGATTTATTGCCATGTTCTACCAGCCATTGGGAGGGGTCGCTATTGTGCTGTGGCATTGCCTCTCTTTGGATTCCCTAGCACTTTATGTGTGCCTCAAGGTTATTTATGTAGAAAAAGGACCCACAACAAAATGTTGCCGTGTGTGGAGTGCTCCCTCTTCAGGATTCTAGCCACTTCATCCCATTCCCTCTTCGCCCCAGTTGTGTTGCCCTCAACAGGCAGTTGTTATTCCACGTTTATGGAGCATGCTCAGTCCTCAATTAGCTCAGGGTGGCAGTGGTGTTTATATATTTAAATACGTCTAAACTACCTTTCTGGACCAAGTTCGCACAAGGCAGAGAACAACATACAAGCATAAAATGATAATGCCGTTATAATAAAACTTTGCCATGAAAACCACACAAAACCCCAAGGATACAATAAAATACAATACAGCCACACAAAACAAGGGTTGCCAACCTTTCAGAGGGCATGGGGCCCATTTGGAATTTTGAAGAAGTGCCACGGGTATCAGTCACAAAATGGCTGCTGAGGGGGTGTGGCATAATAATAATAATAATAATAATAATAATAATAATAATAATAATTTTATTATTTATACCCCACTCATCTGGTTGGGTTTCCTCAGCCACTCTGGGCAGCTTACAACACATACAAAATTGTAAAACATTAGGCTAAAAACAGAACAAAACTTCACACATTAAAATCTTCCCGATACAGGGTTGCCTTCAGATGTCTTCTAAAAGTCAGATAGTTGTTTATTTCCTTGACAGCTAGTGGGAGGGCATTCCACGGGGTGGGCGCCACTACCGAGTAGGCCCTCTGTAACCTCACTTGTCGCAGTGAGGGAACCGCCAGAAGGCCCCCGGAGCTGGACCTCAGTGTCCAAGCTGAACGACAGAGATGGAGACGCTCCTTCAGGTATACTGGGCCGAGGCCGTTTAGGGCTTTTAAGGTCAGCACCGAACTTTGAATTGTGCTTGGAAAAGTACTGGGAACCAAGGTAGGTCTTTTTAATATATATATATATATATATATATATATATATATATATATATATATATTGGTTTTTAACATACAAAATTATAAAACACACCACACAATTTATCACAAAGGTGTCAACCGTGCATCTCATGAGAGGGATCTCTGAAAGGTAGGGGGTGGTCTGCCAAAGGTTCTTGATGCCTAAGGCAGAAGTTTTTTGGAGTTCACATGGACAATGAAGACCACCAAGGTTGTACTTTAATGAGTTTTATGAGCAGGGAGAGGAAAATAAGGAACAACACAAGAGGAATCACAGAATCAGAGAACTGTAGGTTTGGAAGGTACCCACCGAGGGTCATCTAGTCCGAACTCCTGCAGTGCAGCAATCACAGGAATCAGAAAAGATCTTGCAGCCCCATCTGTTGCCCAAGAATCCTCTTCCCTTCTTGGGCAGGCAACAGATTGAACACCTTACAGGTGGAATGTGCAACACTGGTGTCAACATCACGGCCTGCACCATGAGTCCAACTCACCCTTTGTGGCCTTGGTCCTTATATATTATCTGGGAGTGCTGACGATACTTTAGCTCCCATGCCTGGGGTCACCGCCCCCAGGACCTTCTCTAAGTTTATGTATAGCAAGTTCAGGTGAGTAGTCATGGCCAACAGTGAACTACAAAGTAATGGGACAACCTAGATATTCCCATCCTACGCTACTCAGCGCTTAAAAGTGCTGAGTCACTGTTTTATGACTCACATGTGAGCCTAGGTAGCCCTAGCTCTAAGGGACAGGTGGCCCCACAACTCCCGGCCAAGTGGCCTTTCTAGGATAGATGCTGTTTCTAGGAAGCTGTGATTCATGCTTAAAGAACTCTACACAGCTGCACTATTCCATCTACCAGCAAGTGCTAGGTACAGGCCTGAACGCCTTTGTGGGACATCCAAAGGGGTACATAGTACATAGGCAGTACTGTAGCATGCACATACGTAGAATTACCATTCAGACCTTCCACCAAATAGGCAGAGGATGAAGGCATCTGCCACACCGACGCTGGGGGCAGATCCAGAAGGCACCTTCTAGTGAACTCATGGAGAACATTTATGACTGAAGCTCTAGTTGATGCTAATCTTGGATCTGCAAAAGAAAAAAAAAGGATTCTGTTAGCAGATCTTAATGCGCATGTTGGAGCTGTGGAGATGCTCTTCATATAGGAGAATGCTTCACTGGCAGAAGAGCGGTGTTTATATGAGCCCAAATCATTCAAACTTTTCTAGGTCAAAGCCACCATTTTGAATTGGATCCAGGGGTGGAAATGGTAGTCAATAGAGCATTGTAAGACAAGTGTAACAAACTCTCATCGGCCTCTGCCTGTCAAAGGATGGGCCACAGCAATATTTTCAAGTTTCCAGGCAGTCTTCAAGGGCAGCCCCACCGTTGTGCCCTCTAAGCCATGCCTAGAACATATGTGAAAATAAGAAAGCAGTGCATGGGAGATCCATCAAGTCAGACTCATACCCTAGGAATGTGCATGGCTGGCCTGTCCATTTTGTAGATGGGACAGTGGTTCCGGGTGCCAGTCCTAAAAATACCTTCTTCTGCTTTCCTTGGCGGTGTGACCTTTCTAGAGCCTGAGGTCTATCCAGACTTGTTTGGGCGGCGTGGGCTGCAATTACCTCGCAACCACCACTGCACTTAGCTCATGCTTTGTGTCTGGCAAGAAGTCTGTCTGGGCTGGTTGTGAAACCAAAGTTTTGCTGCCATAGGGAAGGGAGCAATTAAGGGAGAAGGCAGCGCAAGGGAATTGCCCTGAACCTAGGTCTAAAATGGCACAGCAAGCTTCCAGATGGGGCAAGGAGCGGGTGGCTACACAAAGCTGCAGAAGAGTGTATACATTTGACCATAGAAAGCGTGCCCCCACCCACAGGAATGTAGGGATTTGCCTTGTACCAAGTCAGAAATTGGTCCATCTAGACATCTGTTGTCTACATCAGCCTTCCCCAACTTGGTTGCCCCTCCAGATGTTTTGGATAGCTCCCATCATCCCCAGCCAGTATGTCCTTGTTGCAGCCCCAAACATCTGGAGAGCACCAGGTTCAGGAAGGGTAGCATAACCCTGAAATATGGGCCAGTGTTGTTATCCTGGCATGTTGGGTGTTTTCAGGAAAATCTTTAGTCTACCCAGGCCTTGTCTCCAGCTCACCACCCATCAGATAAATTGTAGACCTATTCACTGATGCTAGTATGTATGCTTCCTAACTTACTTACTTACTTACTTACTTACTTACTTACTTACTCCTCTGTGCACCACTGGGAAAATTCCTGTGGGCACCCATCCCTCTAAGGTCAAACCCGCCCCCCCTAAGAATGCACAACTATTAAAAAAAGAGAGACATAATCTTAATAGGAAAACTGTGTTGCTGTGTCCCTAAATAACTTTTTTAAAAAACTGAAACAAGTTGGGCATGCCACTATTTATAAAGACATTCTACTATTTTACAAAAGTCAAATTATCAGAACCATTTTGAAGCAGACGCTTTTTGTGTCTTCTATGGTGCAGCCCATTTTTATACCTTTGCTGCCTCCAGTGTTGTTAGAATCTCCGACCTGCAGTAACTCAGATGCAGGCTTATACAGCAGCAGGCCATCCCCATACTGTACAAAGAGACCACATATTTGGTAAGTTAGAAAGGGTTTACTTACAAACTCTTCAAAGGTCAGATTCATGGGCTTTTTCGTACAGCAGAAAGAAAATTTAGGCAGTAAACTTAGGTTCCAAAGTAGTAAATTTTTCTAAATTATCTGTATAAGACCACAAAGATGGCCGACTAAAGCCATATGGTCTAAGCTTGGTTCATATATTCAAATAGAATTTCCTGGAGCATCCAACTTTGACCTCCTTTCTGGTATGGTTCAAATGGTGAAAAGTGAAAAGAACAAAGGCTGGATAACCCTTCCCAAGGTAGTGTGTGTGACCTAGCTAAGCCTGGCAGGACAGCTTACTCTATGTTCTTAACCCCTTCATGCATTAATTAGATTTAAGCATGTTGGTTATATGAGGCTGCTTACCCCACATTCAGACCAGTGGGCACATTTCGCTTTTTACATGAGTGCTTTTGGTCATGTCTCTCTACTATCCGCTGGATCAGTTCCCTACAAGGGGAAGTGGGGGGGGACGACATATGCCAAGTTTGAAGCAGAAATAGGTGCAAAAAATTGCCAGTGTTTGCTTATACGTCCCATGTTGAGAGCAGAAATAATTCAACTGAATATGATCAGAAATCACAGCTGTTACTGTTTTCAGTCTGCAAACAATCTGTAATTGTTTGTGCGTCGTCCCCCCCGGCCACCGCCATGTTTCCTTTGCAGAGCAAGTTATGCTGACAGTGAGACAAAGAACATAATTTCTGGCAGAAGACAAACTGCAGCAGAACAGAAACGGTGATGCATGTGATGGAGACAGACAGGGTGGGACAGAAAACGGTGCTTTTTTACATCCCTTTCTCTGAGATAGGCAGCTTCTCGTGGCATATTCACCTAAAGCCCATTGTGGCAAAATTGGGGGTCCTTTGATTTAACATGACCGCAGTGTTGTGAGGTCAGATAGGCTGCTAGCCAGGGCTGGCACCAACACCTGGTATCTTTGGACAGTTGACAAGTCCCAGCCCTGAAATGTGCCCTGAGCTCCCTTCCCTTTAATTCCCCGCCCCTACCTGGTGCTCTGTGCAATGCTGGACTCTGCCTTTCAGATTGGGTTCCTTTGGAATGAAAGGTGAGCTAAAAGCAGCCTGACTGAACAATGAATTAATGAAACCAACCACACAAAGTGAGCAACTTTCCGCAAAGCAGGCTCCGTTCCCGTGATCTGTGTTTTCAACTTGCGCAGGTCCTTGGGCTTGGCAGAAAATTATCACCAGGTCTGTGCATTTACGCTTTTCAACCCAGTTAAAAACTAAAGTGGCAAAGACCTGTCGTGGAACAATAGTGGGGAGGCTGACACTAATCCCTCTCTCTCTAAGGCCCTTCCCAACGACCATTGCTCAATTTGCAGCCTTATCCAACAAAGTGGGGGGAAATCCTTGTAATAATAATTAAAGGCTGACACCTCTTCATTAGGAGGAGTGCCTAGAAATTAACAATGGCAGATGAGGCGTCTGAGGCCCTGTAAAGGCATGTGGTGGATGCAGGCACAAGTCGTGAAGAGAAGCGTTGGCCCTGTTGGGACGGGAAAGTATACAGCAGTTGGGAAGAGCTCCGAAGTGGGACTTGTGTGGACCAAGGCATCAAGGAATCTGCTGGATACAAAACTAGTCACACATGGTGATGAATACTCTTTAGCACCCTGCTCATTAAAGTAGAACCAGCCAGGCGTTGTCGGCAGGCATCAGGCCACAGCATTCCTCCAAACCCTCCAGTTGTATCACAGACAGGTAGGTGGGACCGCTCTTTATCTTTCTCAGAGATGGATGTCATCCTTCTGAGATCTCACCAGAGAAGGTGACTAGGATCCCCTTGTTTGGAAGCAAAGCTTCCCAGTTCATCATGAAAGATTGTGGACAAGGGGGCTGTCGAAGATTTCAATCAGATTTTTGTTGTTGATGCAAGTGACCTTTTGCTAGAAGGGGCTACTGGTGAGCTCCTTACAAATACACGTCTGTTTTTCTATTCTCGTGCTCATCGGGATGGCCTATAAAATGTCAGAATGCATTTCGTTTTGTCCCATTTAGCTCTGGTTATACCTATTGATAAGTAACCTGCCAACAAATGCCAGATAGTAATTTTTCATAAAACGTTTCTATGGTAAAGAAGCATGTTTTACTTTCAAGCTGATGTTCAACGAATATCCTTCTTCTTTGAGTTTCCATTTCTTCCTATCACAAGAAGAACTCTGGGTGTGTGTGTGTGTGTTTTAAAAAAGTGATGTGAGATTTCTCTTTTGAAAGGATGGCTATTTTCCTTACTCTTACAGAGTTCCCCAGCCAACTGGGAAATATATGCAAATAAATCTATTTTAGTGTTCTCCATGAAGGGCATTATAGAAATATTATTTTTGAAATCCCATATAGACTAGAACATGCCTCTGAATGAAAGCTGGGTGATGATGGACAATATGCCACAATTGTCTCTTATTTACCAGAAAGAAATCCCCTTTCTTGGTACTTATCCCTGGTAAAACACTGCCCACTTTCCTGCCTTTTAAAGAGATGTAAGCCCACTGAATTCAGGGTGACTTACTCCAGACAGCAGCCATGACTGCTTCCCCTAATGTGAAAGGAAGGTGAGACAAAAACACCTGCTATTGTACCTAGGAATTGGATGGAAATTCAATTCAGTTTGCATTTAAAAGTGAAAACAGCTTTGCACTTCAAAATTCACACTTTTCCAAAGTTTGAAATGCACTTCTCTAGTAAAGTAAGATAATGCAAATGCTGGGGTAAAGTGTTCACAAAAAAGTGTTCACACTTTCTAGTTTAAAAATAACATTAAAATGCAATATTGGGGTAAATTGCTTTGCAAAAATGTGTCTATCAGGGGAAATTGCTTTACTGCCGAGGGAGCCGTTGTTTGTCCGCAGTTTTTCCGGGTCATGTGGCCAGCATGAATAAATGGCCAGCATGACTAAGCCGCTCCTGGCGAAACCAGAGCAGCTCACGGAAACGCCGTTTACCTTCCCGCCGGAGCGGTACCTATTTATCCACTTGCACTTTGACATGCTTTCGAACTGCTAGGTTGGCAGGAGCTGGGACTGAACAATGGGAGCTCACCCCATCGCGGGGATTTGAACCTCTGACCTTCCGATCAGCACCACAGCGCCACCCGCATGTATATTAGAAGTCTGCATTAAAATTCTGCTGAATTCTTGTGAGGATTTGTTCATACAAAATTCACAAACTGATATGGAAATGTGGAGAGCTGACTTGTAACATCCTGAATGGGGAGGGGGGTGTCAAGGATCATTTGGATGAACTTGAACTATGAACTTAACATGAACCAAATTAGTTTGCTTTGTAAAGGGATGGTGGTAAACTGGAATCAGTTCCTTTTTCGACATGTTGGACTTGAACTAGTTAAAACAGGCTTTCTAAGCTCTGAAAATTGTGTGCTCTGCCAACAATTGGTGTCCTTCTCCCTTTGAGGCTTGAGGTATCGCAGTGAATTTCACACCTAGGCAGAAATGTGAATTCAGGTTTCTCTACATCCTAGGGATGGTGAATATATTGCTGGACTACAACTCCTATCATCCCTTACCACTGGCCACAATGGCTGGTGGAAATAGGAGTCCAATAATATCTAGAGAGCCACTGGCTCCCCATTCCTGCTGTACCTGTGGTGGTGGCCCAAAGGGCCACAATAACTGTAATAATGTGTACCTCTGTAAATCCTTGAGGGTGCTTCTAATAGAGAAGTTACGGTAGCCTTTTACTTTATGAAACTGATGATTTTGCATGTTGCCGCCCCCCCAAAAAAATAATAATTGGGGCACAAATACAGCTAATATGTGAATCACAAAGATACAGCTCAAAGCTAGAACGTAAGTTGCTACATGGTGCAAATGGCTACCCAACATGCATACTAACACAATGTAACAGAACACGGTGGGAATCAGAACTTAATCAACATAAATTGCTATTGCTTATGGTGCATGTGTATTAAACATGAAATGAGGTAATGATGTATATGATTGGTGAAAATTGAAATGCTTTGTTTGAAATTTTATAAATGCCACTGCCTGACAACCGGGCAGGGTTGCAGTTTTGCGGAATGATCTGACTGTAACCTATTACCCACTATCCACAAACACTACCTTGGCTGTATGTGACCTTTCGCTCTGCATGTCTCCTCAGCAGGTCTACTGACAGACAGGCCCTTCACGGTCTCATGCAGTGACATGACAGCCATGGAGGTGGTTTCACTGGCACTGCTGTTGGTGTCAGGAGGTAAGATTGTGCAAGCATGTTTCCAAGCCCAGTCACTGTTCTAAATGGAGATTTCAACCTCAGGTAAATGACAGGGCACATGAAGCATGTTGCTCAGATGTACACAGGATATGCCAATGTCAGCACAGACTGGCAGCAGCTCTCCAGGATTTGAGGCAGGAGCGCTGCCCAGCCCTATCTGGAGACGCACTATCTGAGCCTAGGACCTTGTTTCACTGAGCACTGGTGCAGGTTTCCTCAGCCTTAGGGCTGCATTACCTTGTAGGCTACCTTCCAGGGGCCACATTGCAGTGGTGGGTGGGTGGGGCCAGAAGGAAAAGTGGGTGGAGCAACAAATGTTAGTTTACTCCCACATCACTCTCTGTCCTTCCTCCAGGTAAACAAGAAGCATTGGCAGAGTTCAAGGATATTTTCTAGCCAGGACAGAACATTCCAGAAGGGTGCAAAGCAGGACCAGTGAGAAGTGTGGGTCAGCTGGGAAGCAGGTGTGGCCTGTATGGAGTCCTGAGGCCCAAATAGAGAGGGCTGCAGAGCTGCATTCACACACACACACACACACACACACACACACACACCCCTACACCTGAGGTTTCCCACTCTTTCCATATAACAAGGGTGGGGAACCTCTATCTCACAGGCCAATCATGGCCTGCCAGGGGTCTAAGTTGGACCATAAGGCAATTTGTCCATAAGCCATGCCAGTCGACCCATCAGCTATCCACTCAGCCCATCCACTCAGCCAGGAAGGAACAGAGGCACGCAGGCAAACTGAGAAGGATTTAACGCCTGCTCGTGAGCTATTGAGCAGGGGGTGAAATCCTGCTCAGTTCAGGAGCATTCCATGCAAATCCCATGCAAGGGGCTTTGACGTCCCAACTTTGGGGCTTGTAAGCACCTTCCATCACAAGTCATTGTGACATCAGGTTGTTGTTGTTGTTGTTGTTGTTGTTGTTGTTGTTGTTATTATTGTTATTATTATTATTATTATTTAGGTTTATATACCGCCCTTCATCATAAGATCTCAGGGTGGTTCACAGAATAAAACTGTCCAGGTGGGCAGTTCTTCTGATAGATGTCAGAGGTCAACAATACCTGGAGGGCCATGGATTCTCATCCCATGATCTGTGCATGCAACTAGCCATGGTAGCTGTGTGCAGGCTCCACCTTCAGAGGCCTCTCTAGGTACCAGATGCTGGGGATACAGCAATGGGAAAGAGCTATGGTCTTCATCTTCTTCTAGTGGGCATCCCAGAGCTATCTGATTGGCCACTGGCTGGGAAACAGGATGTTGGACTCAATGGACCCTTGCCTCTGGTGACGCAGCAGAACCTTTTTTACTGTCCCTGTTCTTGTCTCTCCAACCCCCCGATTTACAGCAGCTACGCAGGAAGAGTCACGAATCATTGGAGGAACCGCATGCATGAAAGGTTTCCAACCTTGGCATGCAGCCATCTACGACATGAACCGGTTCTATTGCAGCGGAGCTCTGGTGACCATGGAGTGGGTGTTGACCGCTGCACACTGCAGACTCCCAGGGTACGCCTTTGCCTCTTTGACCTAGCAGACTGTCAGGCTTCAGGGAATCTGATCCCTCCCACGGTGGCAGCCAAGAAGTAGATAAACAAAAAACAGTTTTTACCAAGTAACTTATTCACTATGGATCCAGAGAGAGACAAAGGATAATGGCGTTGCTCTGAGTGAATTCCCAACCCTTCCGTCTCTCCTGTTCTACATCACCCCTGCGCCGGCTGATCTGTGCTTTCTGCCTCTGACTTTTCTGTTCTATTACTCTCAAGGCACGCCTTGTTCTGGGAGGGGGGAGCATCAGGAATGCTTTCAAGGGACACTGAGTCTGTTAGCTGTCTCTCCCCTGGTACTTCTTCCTGCTGCTCTCCCAATATTTCCCAGCTCCTCCCCTCTGCAGCCTCTGAACTATGCCCTTCTGCAAACCACTGTTCTAAATCTATACTGTCCTCCTGTTTTCAGGAAGGTTCAGGAGGAGGAGGGCGGTCCCCACCATTCTTCCTCATTCCAGCCCCTGACACAGACTGCCTCTAGCAAAATCCCCTCTTCTGCCTAAGGGCCCCTCCAGCTTTCAGTACTGTTGGCGCCTGCAAAAGGTTTGGGACAGTCACACTAGTTCCACTTCCAGTCAGTGAATATCCTGTAATTTCCCGCTGAAGCCCCACAACTTTTTATGCCGCAAATGTTCTGGATTCATATTTGTCCTGCTTTTGTTACACAATGTCCCCTCCAGACGGCGATAGTGTGGTTGCATTGCGGAAGCATCACGGAACAAACTAAAGCAGAATGAACTCGCCACTAATCCACAGTGATTGAGGCAAGACCATGTTGCAGAAGACAATGAAAGATCAGCCTAAGTGGTTAACAGGTCACAAGACTGCACCATGAACCTTGCTCTAGCTGTAGCAGTTATTGTAAGGCAAAATGGATAGTAGCGGTTGCATCTTTTATACTAGGATGAAAAACTTATTTTGTTTACTGCTACATTTTCTAGAAGATATTATGTTAGGGGCTGGTGGTTGATGGTGGTGGGACTAGAGCCAGAAGTGGGTGGAGTACCCCCTCTTTCTGCCACCCCTTCTCACTCTTTGGCAGTGCACACGCAATACATTTAAAGCACATAACCTCTCCCTCCCCACACACAAAAATCCTGGGAACTGTAATTGATTGAGGCTGCTCTGAATTGTAGCTGTGTGCCTGATAAATTATAATCTCCAGGACCCTTAGGGTTAAAAGAATGTATTTAAATGTATGGCGTGTGTGAAGCCTCTCCTCCAGCCTCCTGTCACCTGCAGGAAATTAGACTGAGGGCCACATGAAATTAGGGCAAGTCGCCCACCCAGCTGACAGGAGCTGGAGTCGGGAGCAGGCCAGCACTAAAACACCCTGTGTCAGTTAACGCTTTATTCAAAGAAACTAAAATAGCACAGGCCTGGTGATCCCAGCAACTCTTCCCAGGTCTTGCTCCAAAGAGGCAGTTGTGAGGACCACTGCTCTCTAAGATTCCTTCTTTGGGTCCTTCCCCAGCAACCTGAGGTGTCTTTATCTTGTCTCTCTTTGCTCTGCCCTCTTCATTCCTCTTTGTGTTCTGGGAGACCAGGAGGAGGGGAGCTGGTCACCTCAGGAGGGGGATATTTCCCTGGCTCCTTCAGCAACCGGCCTCTTGGCACCCCCCCCTTCCCCAGCCTCTGCTTCTGCCTCTCATTCTGGACTGCTCTCTGCCACAGCCTCTTCCCACTCACTAAACCCTGTTGCCTCTTCAGCTTCCGACACCTCCTCCTCCCAGTCTGCTCCCTCTTTCCCTCTGACCACTCATCATCATCCCACCAACAATCCCTGGGCTCTGAGCCTTGTTCCCCTGGGGGTTCCCTTGGGGGTTCCCCAGCCAGTCCAGGACACCATGCCACTCTAGACTTTTAACTACAGTGGTACCTCAGGTTAAGTACTTAATTCGTTCCAGAGGTCCATTCTTAACCTGAAACTGTACTTAACCTGAAGCACCACTTTAGCTAATGGGGCTTCCTGCTGCCACCGCACAATTTCTGTTCTCATCCTGAAACAAAGTTCTTAACCCGAGGTAAGTGGGTTTCTGGGTTAGTGGAGTCTGTAACCTGAAGCGTCTGTAACCCGAGGCACCACTGTACTGTACACTGTACCACCATCTGTATCTCGCAGATTTCCCAAGTAACCCCCTTTTGCCTTGCTTTCCTGCAGCACCACTTACGTGCGCCTAGGAGTGCACAACATGTTGCGCATGGAGGACACTGTACAGCAAAAGAGAGCGGTCCGGCTCGTGCCTCACCCAAACTACGATTCTGTCAGCAAGGACAATGACATCATGCTGATCAGGCTCTCCTCTCCAGCGGCCATCACTGACAGTGTCCAGCCCATCAACGTGGCCAGTCAGTGCGTTGCTCCAGGAATGCGGTGCCTTGTGACAGGGTGGGGCAGGACCAGCAGCTCAAGACGTAGGGCCTTCGAATATTTTAAATTTTTTAAGGCAGAGGTGGGAGAGGGGCCATAGGAGCAGCCGGAAAGATTTTGCCACCATACAGGTGTGGGTTGTATCGATCAAGCAAAGCACGCAATCGAGCGAGATCCCTTTATTCAATCAATGTTCCAAAGAACACAAGCAAAGGCCAAATAATGCCAACAAAGCTTAGTAGTCCCTACACGGGCTGGCAGCAGCTCTCCAGGGTTTCAGGCAGGGCATCTCTCAGCTCCAGCTGCAGGAGCTGGAGATTGAACCTGGGATGTTCTTCATGTGAAGCAGATGCTCTACCATGGAGCTACAGCCCTTCTCTTGGAAGCGGCCTTATTGTCAGACCAATTGCCCATCTAGCTCAGTAGTGTCAACACTAACTGGCAGCAGCAAGTCCAGATTTTTGGACAGTGTTTCAGCACCCAGCCCTCAAATATATGATCTCTGTGTATGTGTGGTTTGTGAGAGAGAGGGAAGGGTGTGCTTGGGCAGAGAGAGCGGGGAGATATATGTATGGCTTTGTATTTGTGGTACGTATGTGTGTGTAAATGTGAGAAATGCCTCTGTGGTATATTTTCCCAAGTACTGGGGAATGCTTCCAGGTATTTTTTAGATAGCAACACCATCATTGAGTCTGTGTGTGTGTGTGTGTGTGTGTGTGTGTGTGTGGTGGGTCATAATTACATTATTTCCACATTTGGGACCAGCAGCACATAGCAGACTTCCCATGGTCACCTTGCCTGAGAGGGAGCAGCAATGACTGTGCACTCTCTAACTTTGTGTCCTGTCATGCTCCTGCGGGCGCCATTTTGTGACTGGCGCCCGCCACCCTTTCGCAAAATTCCAAGTGTGCTACTGGTCCAAAACATTTGGCGACTCCTAACCTTGGTAACTGTCATCTCTACAGCAACCATCCCTGAAGAACTGCAGTGTGTTTATCTGCCCATCATCACGCAGAGCGAGTGTGAGGCAGTGTATCCTGATGCCATCACCGAGAACATGTTGTGCGCTGGCGTGAGGCAAGGGGGTGCTGACACTTGCCAGGTGAGGAAAATCCTTTAATTCAGAGGCAACTTAGGGTCAAATTAGATCATGGGTAGGCAAATAAAGGATCCGGCCCAATCGCCTTCTAAATCCAGCCTGCGGATGGGCTGGGAATCAGTGTGTTTTTATATGAGTAGAATGTGTCCTTTTATTTAAAATGGATCTCTGGGTTATTTGTGGGGCATAGGAATTCGTTCATTTTTTCCTCCAAAATATAGTCTGGGCCCCCCACAAGGTCTGAGGGACTGAGCCCACGGCTGAAAAAGTTTGCTGACCCCTGAACTAGATGGTGTGCAAAATGCATGATTGTATGTTACAGAGGCGCCAACTTGGGCCAGCCAGGACCTGCAGCAAAATGTGGTGGTGTGGGACTGCTCCAGTTCAGGGTTTCAGCCAGCCATGTCCCCTCCTGGGATACTCCATTCCATTTTACTCTCTCCACTTCTCCACTGCCCGCCCCACCCCCGGCAACAGATATTGCACATTCTGTGGCCACTGAGCATGCTCAGTCTTCATCGAACTGTTTTGAGGTTTGTTCGAGGTTTCTGTTTCCTTCAAGGTTTTCCCCATAAAGTCTTTTTTTGTACTTTTACAAACCTCAAGGTGGTGATAGGTGTATCTGTGAGTTTCAGTTTTACTCAGTTGCTAATTTTTCCACTCTTAAGTTCAGTACTCCACACTTTCAGATCAACTCGTGACTTAGTAAATAAATATCTTCAAGAACAGTCATCAGCATTTTAATGCTGATGTTTGTATGCAGTGTTGCCTAATATAAGCATTTTTGCAAAGCACATTTCCCTAATGTGGTACATTTTGTATGGTATTTTCACTAAGACATGCATTTATATGTGCACCTTGCTCTGGTATATGCATTTTTGTACACATGACAAAATTTGGAGATACGTAATCTGACAGGGAGATGCCACATGATGAATGTGTACAAGACACTCTCTTTCTTTCTTTCTTTCTTTCTTTCTTTCTTTCTTTCTTTCTTTCTTTCTTTCTCTCTTCTCTCTCTCTCTCTCTCTCCCCCCCCCTTCTATCTCTCTCTTTTTTCTTTTTTCTCGCTCTTTCCAGGCACTCACATCTTCTTAACAAAGATCTGAACAGATTGCTTGCAAAAGTCACTTGAAATTAAGCCAAAGACTGCTACATTGACTCTACACCATATGACCTAGCTAGAAAGACCTATACTACTCATTTTAACTGGTTTGAAGAAACCAGTTAAATGGTTAAGCTTTCCCTGAAGACCCCTAGGAATGCGGCTTTGTAAAAGCCTTGGAAATTTTGAATTATCACAGAGCCTGAGCTCAAGGTTCCTGAGTTCTAGCCAACATGATGAAATGTTCTATTAAGACTTCACATGGGGGTGGGATTTTCTCCCTGTGCAGGGCGATTCTGGGGGACCCCTCATCTGCAACGAAGAACTTCAGGGCATCGTGTCTTGGGGTCCAGAGGTGTGCGGCCAGCCTGGGAAACCAGGTATCTATACCAAGGTCTGCAACTACGTCGGCTGGATCCGGGAGGTGATACAGCGCGGGTGACGCCAGCTCAGAGACGAGGCGCACAAATAAAGCATGAGAAATGAGCTCAAGTCTGCATCTCCCTTGTTCTCTCCCCCTTACCCCAACTCACAAACACGATCCCATGCCTTTTCCACTCCCTGTGCCTACATGGATGCATGCTGACCAGGCCAGTGATCAATGAGGTCGGGCGCACTGAGGCTGAGACTAACGATGGTCCACTGAGGGGCAGTCCTGTGTGGGAGGCTCACCCTGCTGCCAACTTTCCCCAGGTGCTGAAAGCAGATCACAAATTGCAGGAGGTTCCAGGAAAGCATCAGGCCTGAGGAATAAATGCAGTCCTCCAAGCCTCTTTTTTTGGCTCTCAGGTCTTTGCCCAGGCCACACCCTCTCCTTAGCCACACATTTTCTCCTCGGGATATTCATTTCAGTAGTGGGAGTGGTCCCTACTTCTTGAATGCCCAGCTGGGTGTGTCCTTGCCCCCCCCTCTCTCATTCATTCATTCATTCATTCACCAATGGGGGAAACAGGGGTCTCCTAACAGCTCTCAACAACCTAAGCAAAATATCGTTCCAGGACTGTTTAAAAAGGTTTGAGACTGTTTCAGAAGAGGGACGCAGGTGGCGCTGTGGGTTAAACCACAGAGCCTAGGGCTTGCTGATCAGAAGGTCGGTGGTTTGAATCCCAGCGACGGGGTGAGCTCCCGTTGCTCAGTCCCTGCTCCAGCCAACCTAGCAATTCAAAAGCATGTCAAGGTGCAAGTAGATAAATAGGTACCACTCCAGCGGGAAAGTAAACGGCGTTTCCGTGCACTGCTCTGGTTTGCCAGAAGCGGCTTAGTCATGCTGGCCACATGAGCCGGAAGCGAGATGAGCGCCGCAACCCCAGAGTTGTCAGCAACTGGACCTAATGGTCAGGGGTCCCTTTACCTTTACTGTTTCAGAAGTGCAGTGCAGGATTAAAATCAGAACTGTTGTTATTGGATTAATCAAGATTATGAAAGCAGGAAGAAATAAGAGCTTTGTAACCTGAAACCAAGTACACGGGAAGTCATTTCAAATTGATTAATTTGGTTTTTGAATAATTGGTTCTCTCTCTTTTTTAATTGGATTGTAATTTGGTAATGTGACAATGTGGCTTTTCTTGGACTTGTATTAAAGATTAATAAAAAAATATATTATACCAGAAGTGCAGTGCAGATGGGAGCTAAGCCACATCCATTATTTTGAATAGGTCTGCTCTGAATGCAGCCATAGAATTGCAAATTTTCAAATTTTCTATGACAGGAATAAACCGTGCGCTGAAAGTCATGAAGGGGGTGAGGAATGCCATTTAAAAATAATAATAATCAAAAGTTGAACAAATAGCAGGTGAAAGGTACCCGTGAAGATATCACTTAACAAATGTTCTTCCCCCCCCCCCGCCCCCAACAAAGGTTTTCATTTTTCCCCAAAGGATTCCTTCTCCAAACTGTACAGGAAGTGTTGGGAAAGACTTTAGTCTGAAACCCAAGACAACCGCTGCCAGTCAGTGTAGAGTGTATGGATCTAGGTGAGCCAATGGTCTGACCCTGCGTAAGGCAGCTTCCGATGTTCCTAAGATACATTGTGTGAAACTCGTGTCAGGCTCCGCTCAGAAGGTATTGGTGCTTCTCCTTTGGGAGCAGACCAAAAGAGTTTGTGAGAGATAACAGAATCGTAGAATTGTAGAGTTGGAAGGAATCCCAATGGTCCAACCCTCTGCAATGCAGATAGCGCTACAGTCCAAATAAGGGAAGGCAAGAAGCAGGTCTGAGTGAAAAAGGATGGAGGGCAGGAAGGAAACATGGGTTCCTCATGGTTTATTCTGGGATCTCAGCAAAATGAGGAGGGGGGAGGGTCTGATTTCCCCACAACAAGTCAGCCGTCATCACACATGGTCTCAATGATCCAGTCTCTGTATCTGGAAATGTCCATGTAGACCCCGGGTTTGGTGCTGGAGCTGCAGGGCACGTCACCCCAAGACACCAGACCCTGGAGCTTCCTGTTGCAGACAAGGGGTCCCCCGGAGTCACCCTGTATTGACAACCAAGAGAGACATCTCTTTAACCCAGGAAGGGTTGTTCTGTTTATTACTAGATCTAAATCCCCTCCTTCCTAGGGCTGCCATACGTCCGGACGTTACCGGAATTGCAAAGGCAGAATTGACGTCTGGGGGTGAATTTCTGAAAGGCGGCAATTTATCCTGGATCCTAGACAAGTCAATCGAAAAATCACGGTTTTGGGGGGGGGTGTCTTGGTTGCTACTTTTTGAAATATGGCAGCCCTACTCTTTCCTCCCAAAGGAGCCCAGGGTATTAAACACACAAGTGATAAAACATCTAAAAGCAACGCCAATACTATACTAGTCATATACAAACATGTTGCCCTATCCCAGCATTCTTCAACCTTGGGTCCCCAGGTGTTACTGGACTACAAATCCCACCATCCCCGGCCATCTTAATCAATAATGAGGGATGATTGGAGTTGTAGTCCAATGACATCTGGGGACCCAAGGTTGAAGAATGCCGCCCTTTCCTATGCATGTTTACATGGAATCAGGGGTGACAACTGGAATATAACAAGGGGGACAAGAAAGTCCTGCCCCACATAATTGAGCACAAGATGCAGCACACACACATCATTTGAATGGCAACTTGGGGAGGTGGCCCCCTCCAATATTTTATTGGGAGGGGTGAAGGGACCTTGGCACCGAGGACTTGGCACGTTTGCATGGAATGAAGTCTCACTGAGTTCAAGGAGATGCAATTCCCAGGTAAGTGCATAGGAACATAGTCCATAGGTCAGGGAAAGCGAGCCTCAGGCCTGGCATCCAAACACAGTCCTCCAGACCTCTCCAGCTGACCCTTCCGGTGTTCAGAAGAAGCTGTGGGTGTTTATTATTTGCCATTAGGAAAATGCCAGTCATCAAGACAGACGAGGGCAGGGCAGCGGGTGGGCGGAAACAGCACCCATTTATGAAATTGCTGGCTGTCAGACGTTACGAGCGGCATTAAAGCATTTTGCAAGATAAGCTCAGCACACCAAAATCCACTGGATATATTGGGTCACACTGGCGTGAACCAGTGCTTTTGAATGTGTGTGATGATACTCAGTGGCACAGAATACTGCCACTTCTCTATTATTATTATTATTATTATTATTATTATTATTATTATACCCATGGCAGCCATTTTGAGTACTAGCTTCTCGGCTTTTTGTTGGTGTTTTTCTTTAACCAAAAAAACCCACTGACTTTAGACATTTAAAAAACCTAATAGATGAATCAACCCTTATCTATGCACATAATTAGATTGCATCATTTTTCATAATTCACTGTAGCCACAGATCTTGGGTTTCCACAATATATAGCATGGCTGAGGAACCCAAGGCTCTAAATGTTGTGGGACTCCCAACTACAGCCTTAGCTAGCATAGCCCATGGCCAGGATGATGGAGTTGGAGTCCAGCAACAAGTTCGGTAGCCTCTCTTCTGGGGCAGAGTTTGAACTTTTTGGCACACATGACATAGGACACAGTGACACGAAAGCAAGAAGGGGCACTGAATAGTGAATACTGAAATACACTGATGCACTTTAAATCGAGGTAGAGCTGAAAGGGCAAAAACGCAACAATAGCAAAATCTCGCCCAAAACCCAGCAAAATCAGATTAGTTTTATGTTAAGTCCTTTTAGTTTATCAGCCAACTTCAGTTCCAAAATGGATTGAACTGACTATTTCTATTTCTATTTCTATTTATACACACACAGAGAGAGAGTGCATTTGACCACAGCCCAATTAGACATTTTGGGGAGCCTTGCACTATGGTGAAGGAGGGCAACTGCCAAACATGCCAAAAGATGGATTGTGAAGATCCCACTGTTTCTGTGCATTATTGCTGCTATTTCTCTAATTCACTGCTTTATGAGGGTGTTAACTGAGTGCTAATAGCTCTGGAGGAGGTTTAACTGGCTGCGAATGGCAACTTAATGGTAGCTGAACAGAAACAGAGGTTCTGCTGCCACTTCCCCCCACTCTAAGTTGTGGAAGTTGCCTGAGATGGCAGCTGAATGTTGTTGGGGCCATTGCTCCTTCCCATTAGAGGCACCCAACTAACCAGAGGCCCTGGTCTCCTTTGGTTGGAAGGGCAGGATAGAAATTTGATAAACAAAACAAACAAATGCAAATACATGCTAACATATGCATTGACCAAGCCCCCAGCCAACGTGCAATTGGCGTCACACTGTAGGGGCCTATGTGCGTGCAGGTTTGAGCGCATAGGGCTCTTTCCATGGGAACAGGTGTTCACATTCCTATAGAGGGGACCCTTAAATATGTACATCCAGCCGTGCATAGGCCCCCTACAGAGTGATCCCAACTGCAGGTTGGCCGTGGGGCTTGGCCGATGCATATATTTGCATCTACAGTGGTACCTCGCAAGATGAATGCCTCGCAAGATGGAAAACTCGCAAGACGAAAGGGTTTTTTGTTTTTTGAGCTGCTTCGCAAGACGATTCTCCCTATGGGCTTGCTTCGCAAGACGGAAACGTCTTGCAAGTTTGTTTCCTTTTTCTTAACACCGTTAATACAGTTGCGACTTGACTTCGAGGAGCAACTCATAGCACGCGGTGTGGTAGCCTTTTTTGAGGTTTTTGAAGACTTTGGTGATTTTTGAAGCTTTTCCAAAACTTTTCCGACACCGTGCTTCACAAGACGAAAAAAATCGCAAGATGACAAAACTCGCGGAACGAATTAATTTCGTCTTGCGAGGCACCACTGTATTTGTTTTCTTTCTTTTGTTTATCAAATTTCTATCCTGCCCTTCCAACCTAAGGAGCCCAGGGCCTGTGGCTAGTTGGGTGCCTATTGGAGAGCCTCGTCACATGTTCAGTATCCATGGGTATCGAATGTCCGAACAGGGCTTATATCTCAGCCTAATCCACTTTACAGGGATGTGTTATCTGGTTCTGCAAGGCAATTGTGATGTTCCAACCAAAGGTCCTTACTTCACAGGAGTCAGTGCCTCCTCCCATCGCAGCAGCACACATCATATCGGTGTTCAGCTTCCCAGGATACAGGGCAGAGCACTCCTCCCAAGACATTATCCTGACATTTGCACAGTAAAGGACCAGAGGAATTCGCTCTAAAGAAAGAAGAAGAACTGTAGAGTTGGAAGGGGCCACAAGCGTCATCTAACCCCCCGCAATGCAGGAATCTTTTACCCAAAATGTGGGGCTCAAACTCATGACCTTGGGCTTAAGAGTCTCATGCTCTGCTGACTGAGCTGTCCCTGGAGGCAAGAACAAGATCTTGAGAAATATTGGTTTTACTCATAAAGCTAAAGGTAAAGGGACCCCTAACCGTTAAGTCCAGTCACAGATGACTCTGGGGTTGCAGCACTCATCTCACTTTACTGGCTGAGGGAGCCAGCGTGTGTCTGCAGACAGCTTCTGGGTCATGCGGCCAGCATGACTATGCCGCTTCTGGCGAAACCAGAGCAGCGCACAGAAACGCCGTTTACCTTCCCGCCGGAGTGGTACATATTTATCTACTTGTACTTTGACGTGCTTTCGAACTAGGTTGGCAGGAGCAGGGACCAAACAATGGGAGCTCACCCCATCACGGGGGTTTGAACCGCCAACCTTCCGATCGGAAGCCCTAGGCTCTGTCGTTTAGACCACAGCGCCGCCCGCATCCCTATGGTTTTACTCATAGTTCATTACATTTACATGCTTCAAGAAGAGAGGATGCCAAAAGAAGAGTTCTGTTCCTCCGCTCTTTTTTAAACAACGTCTTTTACCTTTTTTACCTTTATCTAAGGTTGCTAACAAGTTTCCCTAAATCATACATGTTTTTACATTCTCACAAATGTAGGCATTTTTATGAACACTTTCCTCTAATATTGGTGAGGGCTTGGTCATCAAAAATTTGCAAACTTTGAAGGCTAGCTGTGTTTCACCAATTAGCCAATTAGGTAAGTTTGCTTTAAAATGTGAACCGAACTTAATTTCACTTCTGTCCCTAGTCAGGACTGATCCTTTTAGATTTGTCAGCAGCCTTTGACATGGTCGATCATGATCTTCTGGACCACCGACTCGCAGACGTGGGGATACAGGGCATAGCCCGTAACTGGTTGTGCTCTTTTATCTCTGGTTGGGGACAGAGGGTGGCACTAGGGAGGGAAATGTCGTCGCGCCACTCCTTGGTGTGTGGAGTGCTGCAGGGCGCAATTCTCTCCCCGATGCTTTTTAACATCTTTATGCGCCCCCCTGCCCAGATTATCCAGAGCTTTGGGCTGAGCTGTCACCAATATGCTGATGACACTCAGCTCTATCTGCTGATGGATGGCCACACCGACTCGGCCCCGAACACACTGACCAGATGCTTGGAAGCTGTGGCTGGATGGTTTTGTGGGAGCCGATTGAAACTAAATCCTTCGAAGACAGAGGTCCTATGGCTAGGTCGGGATGGCATGGGGATGAGGGACCAACTCCCTTCTCTTGCGGGGGCCCAATTAGTGCCATTGCCTTCCGTTAAGAGTTTGGGTGTAATCCTTGACGCCTCCCTTTCCATGGAGGCGCAAGTTACAGCAACAGCCAAGGCGACATTTTTCCACCTTCGCCGCATCAAGCAGTTGGTCCCTTACCTTTCCCGCCCCGACCTGGCCACAGTGATCCATGCGACGGTCATCTCCAGGCTTGACTACTGTAATTCGCTCTACGCGGGGCTGCCCTTGAAGCTGTCCCAGAAACTCCAGCGGGTACAGAATGCTGCAGCGAAGCTCCTCACGGGGTCTTTGCCATGGGAGCATATTCACCCAGTGCTTTTCAAGCTGCACTGGCTCCCGGTGGAGTACAGGGTCAGATTTAAGGTGCTGCTTTTGACCTTTAAAGCCCTTCATGGCCTAGGACCCTCGTACCTACGGAACCGCCTCTCCTGGTATGCCCCACGGAGAGCCTCAAGGTCCATAAATAACAACACCCTAGTGGTCCCAGGCCCTAAGGAAGTTAGATTGGCTTCAACCAGAGCCAGGGCCTTTTCAACACTGGCTCCGGCCTGGTGGAACGCTCTGCCTCATGAGTCCAGGGCCCTGCAGGATCTGATTTCTTTCCGCAGGGCCTGTAAGACAGAGTTGTTCCGCCTGGCCTTTGGCTTGAAGCCAATTTGATTCTCTCCCCCTCTTTCTTTTTTCTTTTTCCTTTCTCCTCCTGTGATGAGGCTACATTTTAATATTTTAATGTTCCATTATTTTAATGTTGTATTTTATTTTGTTTTTAAGTTGTAATCATTCTTCTTGTTTTTATTATTGCTTGTAAGCCGCTCTGAGCCCGGCCTTGGCTGGGGAGGGCGGGGTATAAATAAAAAATTATTATTATTATTATTATTATTATTATGAGGAGGTGTTCCCATTTTTACTGTTCTCCCATTTACAAATCTCTGTGCAAGTTAAACAAAACAAATGCCTCGAGTAGAAAGGGAGACCCAAGCAAACAACTAATCTCACTGAATTTGTGGGATTTGGGGGGGGGGTTGAGTTTTTGGTGCAGGGAAGGAAGACATTAAGAATTTAATTTCCCACCTGCAACCTGATCCTCTATAGTAGGACTTCACTGTGCTAAAAGCTGTAAAATTGGTTCCCTGGTAGTTTTAGCATACAGTCATACCTTGGCTCCTGAACTCAGCAAACCCAAAAGTGAGTGTTCCGGTTTGCGAACGTTCTTTGGAACCCAAACATCCAATGGGGCTTCTGCGGCTTCTGATTGGCTACAGGAGCTTCCTGCAGCCAATCAGAAGCTGTGCTTTGGTTTCTGAACATTTTGGAAGTTGAACGGACTTCCGGAATGGATTCCGTCCAACTTCCGAGGTACAACTGAATATATATGGAGAGGTACGCCATAAATCTGGATAGCACCGCCCTTACTGGGAGAGCATTGTCCTTTCTACAGCTCCTTCAGGTGCCTTCACTATTTTGGATGTTCGTTTCAGAAGCTTTAGTTCTTTATCTGTAGGCAGGGTATGGTTGAGACTGATCATGCCAGGCCTTTCCTGGGACAGCATCATTTACATACCTGGGAAATTGATAGGACCGCCCCATCCTGACACCATGCACATATCCCCAGAGCTTGCCCTCTGGGTAGCCAGACTTATGGGCTGCACATAATGGTTAAGTACAGCTGGGCTCAACAGTTTGACCAGCATGACGTCATTGTCATAGCACGACTGGTTGTACTTGGGGTGGACGATTGTTTTTTCCACTGCCAAGAACTGTTCTGTGCCCTCCAGGACGTTCAGATTATCATCTCCAAGCCGGACATGGATGCTTCTGTAAAGGAAAGAACAGATAAATAATGGGTAGGTGAGGCCACTTGCACACCAACAATAACCAAGCCTTATGAGGAACGGTTGAAGGAACTGGGTATGTTTAGGCTGGAAAAGAGGAGGCTGAGAGGAAACCATCTTCAAATATCTCAAGGGCTCTCACGTGGAAAAGGGAACAAGCTTATTTTCCTCTTCTCTGGAGGGCAGGACCCAAACCAATGGATTCAAGTTACAAGACTAAACATCAGGAAAAAACTTTCCGACAGTAAGAGCTGTTTGACAGTGGAACAGTCTCCCTCAGGAGGCTGTGGACTCTGCTTCATTAAGCAGAGGTTGGAATGCCCAATTCAGTGCTGGTTTTGTCCTAGAAAGCCTTAAACAGCTCAGTATCACAATACCTCAAGGACCCCTCTCCCCATATGCCCCTGGATCCTGCAATAATGATCAGAGGCCCTTCTTCGTGTGCCTCCTTCATGAGAGATCCAGAGGTCAGCAACACGAGAACAGGCCTTTTCTGCAGTGGCTCCCCAATTGTGGAATGCTCTCCCCAGGGAGGCTCGCCTGGCGCCCTTGTTACATATCTTTAGGCACTAGGCAATACACATTCCTCTTCTCCTAGGCCTTTGGCTAATTAAACAAACTATAGTCTTTTAGAGGGACGCGGGTGGCGCTGTGAGTTAAACCACAGAGCCTAGGACTTGCCGATCAGAAGGTCGGCGGTTCGAATCCCCACGACGGGGTGAGCTCCTGTTTCACAGTTCCTGCTCCTGCCAACCTAGCAGTTCGAAAGCACGTCAAAGTGCAAGTAGATAAATAGGTACCGCTCCAGCGGGAAGGTAAACGGCGTTTCCGTGCGCTGCTCTGGTTCGCCCGAAGAGGCTTAGTTATGCTGGCCACATGACCCGGAAGCTGTACGCCGGCTCCCTCGGCCAATAAAGCGAGATGAGCGCCGCAACCCCAGAGTCGGCCATGACTAAACCTAATGGTCAGGGGTCCCTTTACCTTTACTATGGTCTTTTAGACTGTGCATGGTTTATTGTTATTATTTGTTGCTATGGTATGTGCTTTGGTGTTTTTCTATCATAAACTGCCTTGTGATCCTCAGTTGAAGGGCGGTCTAGAATTTTAACAAATAAATACTAGTTTGCCACATATTCCATGATACCTGCATTTCCCATGCTGAGCCAACACACACAGAGAAGGAGGCATGATCACACAGGTACACCTACCCATGATTGCAGTGAGCAGCGGTAAGGACCCATCTTTGGTTGAGAAGGCTTGCTCCACAGTAGAAACGGGAGTATTTGTAGATGGCAGCCTGCCAAGGCTGAGAATGTGGTGGGCATGGGTAGCCTTTGGGTTTCTTCCTGCCCTGTGCCAGGACTAGAAAAGGAAAAGGAAAGGTCCATTAGCACACTGATGTGTAGATAAATCCCTGCAGATTTCTCCAGAGTTCTTAGAACAGTGTTGGATTACCCAATAGACACAGACACACACAAAAAAATGTTTTTAAAAAAGTATTTGACACAGATAATATATATACATATAATATATACATAGGGACGCGGGTGGCACTGTGGGTAAAAGCCTCAGCGCCTAGGGCTTGCCGATCGAAAGGTCGGCGGTTCGAATCCCTGCGGCGGGGTGTGCTCCTGTTGTTCGGTCCCAGCGCCTGCCAACCTAGCAGTTCGAAAGCACTCCCGGGTGCAAGTAGATAAATAGGGACCGCTTACTAGCGGGAAGGTAAACGGCATTTCCGTGTGTGGCTCTGGCTCGCCAGAGCAGCGATGTCACGCTGGCCACGTGACCCGGAAGTGTCTCCGGACAGCGCTGGCCCCCGGCCTCTTGAGTGAGATGAGCGCACAACCCTAGAGTCTGTCAAGACTGGCCCATACGGGCAGGGGTACCTTTACCTTTAATATATACATATACATATATATAACTAGATAGCTTCCTCACACATCTCAACAGCCTACACCCCAAAATACAATTCACTATGGAAATAGAAGCCAACAACCAACTTCCCTTCCTTGACGTCCTAATCTACAAAAAAACCTGATGGCTCCCTAGGACACACTATCTACCGGAAAAAAAACACACACCAACCGCTACTTACATGCACAATCACACCACCACCCTGCACAAATAAACTCCGTAGCCAAGACTCTCATCTCCAGAACCAAACGCCTGGCTGACAAAGACCACTTGACAACTGAGTTACAGAATCTCTCAAATGTGTTAATCGCCAATGGATACCAGCAAAACAGGGTTACGAAGCTAATCCAAAAAGAAACACCCCCCAAAAACCAAGACACAGAAGAAAACAATGGCATGGCCCTCCTTCCTTATATCAAGGGCACTACAGATAAAAAGTAGCAAAATCCTCCATAAACACAATATCAAAACAGCCTTTTGCACCAACCAAAAAAATAGCCAATATCCTCAGAAACCCCAAAGATAAAATCCAGTTGGAAAACCAAGGGGTCTATGAAATACCCTGCAAAGCCTGCCCAGCCACGTACATTGGACAAACAAACAGACGAATAAATGCACGTATCGCAGAACACAAGAATGCCGTCAAAAAAGAAGAAAAAACTTCCTCTCTTTTCCAACACATGAAAGAAACAGGACACGAAATTAATTTTGCAGATTCCAAATTGCTCTTTAACATGGAACATCACCACAAGAGAATAATCATGGAAGCCATCGAGATAGAGAAACACCCTCACAACATGAACAAGCGTGACGACACGTCCCGCCTGCCAGACATCTGGAAATTAGCCCTCCCCACAAAAAAACCGACACCAGATCCAGAGGCACACAGAACGCCATCACCAATCAACCACACCAGACCCAAACCCAGACCCTCTCCACAGATAAATTACAGACACCATCCAGTAGCCAAACCATGGTGGCACCTCCGGATGCTGCACCCCCCTGCAATCCCTACACAGATCTGGCTGGCACAGGGCACAAAACCACAGCTCGCCCCTATACCCGAAGCCAAGCCAGAGCACAACTAAGTGCAGTACAGCCATCTTCTCAGAAAAACTTTTCACAAAGTTCAAGAGGTCAAGACACGAAGGCTTGAGCAACTAATCCACACCTAATGACCCACCTAAGTGGTACTCAGAATATCACTCAAGAAATCACTCAAGATACCCCTCAAGTAATTAAGGAACAAAAGAAGAAAAGGCACACTAGCCTGGGAACTTCCTCTCTGCCCAGAACATTGGAGGCTATACACCACACCCCCTCAACAGTATTTATAGGAACTCAAACACTGAGATCCTGCTCTGTTCCAGTAACAAGAAGCCGAAAGCACCAGCCTGAAGATGACGAGTGAGACCTCGTCGAAACGTCGCCTAGACACCCCAACTTTTACACGGGAAGACACCCGAGGACACCAAAACCTGCATTCCTGTACCCGTGAAAATCTACGAAAGCATATATATATATATATATATATAATTAAGCATCCAAGTTGCCATCATGGGATAGCTCAGTTGGTAGAGCATGAGACTCTTAATTTCAAAGTCGTAGGTTCAAGTCCCATGTTGGGCAGGACTTCCGGGTTGGCGCCATCGCCGAATGGCGGACTCCCTCCGAGCTCCGGAGGGAGCCTGCTCGGCAGGGGCTGGGTCCTACCGCGCCGACGACGCGGGGACCCTTAAAAACCACGGGCACGGAGCCCCTGGACATGGGTGACTTGGCTGGTACCGTTAGCGCCCTCCCGACTCGTGAAGGAGCCTTTTTAAAGGCTACGGATCGGGTGCCGGGGAGTGGCGTGGTGCTTTGAGTCCTCTGCTTTCCCTGCCGAGCGAAGCCGCATGCCATCCGGCGGAGAGCGCTGACTTCTTCCATTGAAAATTCTGAATTTTAACAACAACCCGTGAGTAATTTGGAAACCGGGTTTAAAAGGAGAAAAAAAGGAATCTTTTTTCGGATTTGGCATGAGCGGGGGGGGGATCCAAAAAGGAAGTCAGTCCCCCTCCCTACTGTAAACATTTTAAAACAAGGACTGGGTAACCAAGGTCTAGAAAGAAGCGTATTTCTGACAAAAATTAAGAATTCCACGATGGAAAACTACAAGAACTGTGCTGGAGGAGAAGAGTGGAGGGAGAAGGAAAACGTAACCCCCCCTGGGAACCGGGGCGATTTGTGAGAGAGCCTGGTGAAAAGAGACGGAGACTTTGACAGCTGTCAAAGTAGCTGTCAAGGTCGGAAAATTTAAAGAGGACTCTGCTATGAGGACTTTGCTAGTAAATTTCGTTGCAATTTGCTACGATTTGGATACAAAATGTCGAAAATATGGAACAACAATCGGTCTTTTGGATCAGAGGAAACAAAGTTACTACAATCCCCCTAGAGGGGTTTCGGGACATTACAAAGATGGTCGTAATTGGAAAAATACTCTTGGAATTGTACAGGACTTGTTATCTCCTGGGAAAGCTGCAAAACTGAAATAGTATTTTGTCTACAGGGGTGTTTACACTAAAGGAGACAATAGAATTTTCTATTGAAGAAAGGAAGGGACTGAACGTAAGTTTTTGTTCCTGAATAACAACAACCCCTGTAGAGCTACTAAATTTCTGAATTAGAACGTTTTAGCAGCGGAACAAGACAAGAAACTGGACTACAACATGGAAAAAACAATGGGGGGAGCCTTAAAGACCAAGGAAACTAAAGGCCCTTAGGGGCCGTTTTTGGATTGGAGATTTGAAGTTAAATACCATAAAAATAACTTTAAAAAAACTGGCAAGCAACTGGGGGAAAATCTGATTATGGATCTAAGATTTCCAGGCAGACAACAGATAGACTGATGGACATGGGGAATTTAAACCGGGGAAGGGGGGGGGAGATTTAGAATCCAAAGGCTGTGTAACTATTTGCTGAATTTTTCTTTTTATATACTTGTTATCTTTTATATCTTTATATAGTTTTTATACTTTGTTGGGGTGTCTTTAAAAAAAGGGGGGGAACTCGTGGAAGGAAAATGGGGTGGACCTTGGGGAGAGAATCTTTGATTTTTATTTAAGGTAATGATGATGACTGTATAAATTTAAATTTGAATATTGGGTTAAACAAATTAAATTTTAAATTGGGAGTGAGAGCTTGTAGAACCAACGTTATGAAAGGGGAATATGGTAGGGATGGGGGAGGGGGGAGTCCCAGAAAGTGGGTAATGAAAGTAAGGTTTCAAATGTATTTTGTTTTTGTTTTATTTTTACTTTCTGTATTTTGGAAATTTCAATAAATATGATTTAAAAAAAAAACAAGTCCCATGTTGGGCAAAAGATTCCTGCATCGCAGGGGGCTGGACTAGATGACCCTCGGGTTCCCTTCCAACTCTATGATTCTAGTCATCATGGCTGGGGGAAACAGAACTTTGTTAGACTTTCTTACATTCCACTACACACTCCTCCCCACTTTTTCATTCTCAATTCAAAAAAAGGGCATTTTATCTTGTGGTTTAGTATTGTTCTCATTTTGAATTACATGGGGGGACACCCTAATCTTTTCAGTGCTTAGGACCTGCAATGCCCATTGCGCTTAACAAACTACAGTTCCCAGTATTAAAGTTAAAGTAATATTAGAGTGCTTTAAATGTGTGCTGTTGGTGTCACCCTAGTCCTGAACGCAACAGGTTTGAAAAAGCTATCTTTAAAAAACATTGGGGGGGGGGAATCCTATTAAAATCTGATGCAGGATGGCAGAGGATGGGGAGAAGGAACCAAAATAATCTGTGCATCTTGTGCAGCAGAAGTCCCCCCATGGCGGACTAACTGGGGGGGGGGATTTTAATCTGCAATTAAAGATTAAGCGATCGTCACGCGAATAAATCAATTAAACCTTTGCAGTCCTATCTAATCATCTAAAAACACGCCCAGATGTGTGTTTCTTCGTGTAGACTCCACTGCATCATGTTATTTATCTTGTTCAGAATCAAAACACTTTCAGTTTTTATGGCTTACTTGTGTTGTTGGCGTCTGTGCTTGGGTTTTTTGTTTTGTTTTTGAAAGCATAATGAATTTTATAAAGTCAAAGCACATTTAACAGGACAGCTAGCATCATGGCTAGAACGTACACGTTGGGTGTGTTCCTCAACCCAGCCTCCCCCCAGCATCTCATTACATGGGAAAAGGGAGTCGCTCTCAGGTGTATGAAAGAAGGGGTGGAAGAACGAGGCAGTGTTTTTATGCCAATAAAGATGTGTGGTGGCATGTGACACTGAAAAGCATGTGCACCATCCAGGTCGCTGCAGAGGTCAGGATGCAGAGACCTTTGCATATGCAAGTGGACTTCAGGATAAGGGTTGGAGGAGCTGCCACCAGCACCTGGACATAGAACCTGGAGGACCAAGACAAACAGGGCTCCTTCCACCATTTGGCCATAGAACGGCAATAGAAGGGCAGCCAGCGGGCTGGGATGGAATGAACCCAAGCACACCCTCCTTAGGTCAGTTCTCCTTGAACTGTTCCAAGCACACTTCTCTTCAGAGAAGGTCCATAGTTCAGTAGTAGAGCATAAAAATAAAAATTATTTATTATTTATACCCTGCCCATCTGACTGAGTTTCCCCAGCCACTCTGGGCGGCTCCCAACAGAGTATTAGGTAAAGGTAAAGGGACCCCTGACCATTAGGTCCAGTCGTGGCCGACTCTGGGGTTGTGGCGCTCATCTCGCTTTACTGGCCAAGGGAGCTGGCATACAGCTTCCAGGTCATGTGGCCAGCATGACTAAGCCACTTCTGGCGAACCAGAGCAGTGCACAGAAACGCCGTTTACCTTCCCGCCGGAGCGGTACCTATTTATCTACTTGCGCTTTGATGTGCTTTCAAACTGCTAGGTTGGCAGGAGCAGGGACCGAGCAACAGGAGCTCACCCAGTCACGGGGATTCGAACCGCCAACCTTCCGATCGGCAAGTCCTAGGCTCTGTGGTTTAACCCACAGCGCCACCCGTGTCCCTATTAAATTAAAATATTAAAAACACGATAAAACATCAAACATTAAAAACTTCCCTAAACAGGGCTGCCTTCAGATGTCTTCTAAAAGTCAGGTGGTTATTTCCTTGACATCTTATGAGAGGGCATACCATAGGGCGGGCACCACTACCGAGAAGGCCCTCTGCCTGGTTCCCAGTGAGAGCCAGTGTGGTGTAGTGGTTAAGAGCAGTAGACTCGTAATCTGGGGAACCGGGTTCGCGTCTCCGCTCCTCCACATGCAGCTGCTGGGTGACCTTGGGCCAGTCACACTTCTTTGAAGTCTCTCAGCCCCACTCACCTCACAGAGTGTTTGTTGTGGGGGAGGAAGGGAAAGGAGAATGTTAGCCGCTTTGAGACTCCTTAAGGGGAGTGAAAGGCGGGATATCAAATCCAAACTCTTCTTCTTCTTCTTCTTCTTCTGTAACCTCACTTCTCACAGTGAGGGAACCGCCAGAAGGCCCTCGGAGCTGGACCTCAGTGTCTGGACAGAACGATGGGGGTGGAGACTCTCCTTCAGAGCATCTGCCTTGCATGCTGAAGGTCCCAGGTGTAATCCCTGGAATCTCCATTTAGGTCTTGGACAGGCATCCCTTGAAATGAATGGACCGTTAGTCCAAAATCTTGGAGAGCTACTGTTTCTTAGTGTAGTCCTGTGTTCTTCAACCTTTGTTCCCCAGATGTTGTTGGACTACAGCTCAAATCATCTCCAGCCAGTTTAGCCATTAGTCAGGGATAATGGGAGCTGTAATCCAATAACATCTGGGATACACAAGGCTGAAAAACACTTTGGCAAAGCAGCTTTTGATGCACAGTGCAGGCATACAGGCCAGCCTCAGCTCAGTCCATATTTATTTATACATATTTACATACATACATACATACATACATACATACATACATACATACCCTGTCTATCTGGCTGGGGTTCCCCAGCATCCCAAGGTGTGGGGTTTTTTAAAAATGCTTACGTATATCACGCCATTGCAAAAGGACCCCGATACATTTTGTGCCCAAGATGAAGAACAAGATTTAAGCTTTAAGATGTGTTATGGTAGCATTCATCTTTTTGTTGGATGACAAAAAAAATGAGTTGTTTTTTTTCTTGTTAACAATTTTAGTGGTTTTTTAACAGATTTATTTGCAAGAGGTTACATTTACATATTTGAACCTTTCGCAAGTTGCTTCTCTTTTGTTGAAAAAAGTGGCAAATCAATTAAAATAAATACAGTCAAACCTCGGCTCCCAAACGGCTCCTGAACATGGGAAGGGCTGTACATCAGCCGTAGAGCCTCTGCTTTGCACATCAATTGATTGATTCATAGAATCATGGAATTGTAGAGCTGGAAGGGACCCAGCTAATCCATCTCCCTGCAATGCAAAATTGACTGATAGAAGCTTCTCTCTGCCTGAAACCCTTGAGGATTTCTCCCATTCAGCGTGGACAGCACTGGGCTAAATGGGCAGGCTTTATTTCCTTAACCAACTCTTACCTACTGAAAAAATCAGGAGCAGAATAATGGAATGCAACATCAAAGTTGTCATGGTGATGAGCTGTGTATGGCAGAGGCAGCTCCCTTTAAGGAGAAAGAAAGGGGGAGAGAGAGAAAGATAGAAGTTAATAAAATAAATAATCAACTGGAGTCTAAATAATAACCCAGTGTGGCAGTGATGTATGTTCAACATAGGTTCAAACTCAGACTCTGCTATGTTTGTGCAGAAAGGGACTAACTATGACAATACGCTGCTGCAGGAAAATGCTTCTTCGAAATACATGTTTACGCAATATCTGACATTTAGCTTACAAATTTTTGGAGGAAAGTATTAAGATGGATAAATACTACTTTGGGGGAGGATTTAAAACTGTCAGAGGATATAATATTATCCTAAACCACATACCAACTACAGTATATGTGGTTTGACAGACCTTCCTGCCACTGCCAGATAAACTAGCACCCTGCATTTTTTGTGATGGTACTTACCAAACAGCCATCACCTCTTCTTTTGCTGCCTGTTGCAACCATTTTCTGGTGGCACCTACAGCACTTCAATTAAGATATAAGTATACCAGCACTTCATTTTTTGCCAAAACAAAAAAACCACCCAACAACACAAAACACTGAGCTACTGGCCAGAGGTACATAGGTTGGTTGTTTGGCCAAAGCTGGCATCAACCCCAGTGGGCGATGCCGGGGATCTTAGATCCCAGCAAGTGAAAAAGACCACCTACTTATCAGTCCCCTGACATCCTAATGACATTGAGTGATTGACACCCGACAGAGTTTAAAGGAGACTGCCGCAACTGCTGGTCGCCTGATTGGTGGTTATAACCACCTCCTTTAAAGAGGCACTTTCAGCATCAGTCAGAGAGCATATTGAAGGAAACTTGGCTGTGACTTCTGATCAGCCCCTCAGGTGCCATTAACGGAATGGCCACTAGAGGGGCTCCCTGAGCCTTAACTTGTACAGTTTTAAATTCTACCCATCAAATTGTTATGAATGCAATCTGTACATAAATTGCTGCGGCTGGTGACGAATGCAAATCTCTGCCTCTGGTGAAAGCTCTGAGATACAAGTTGTAGAAAAGGCCCTTTTGTGCTTGCCCACCCATGAGGCAACTGCCTTGAGCGGCAGGATCCATGAAGGAAGCAGATCTTGATGTGGATCTTTATTTCACCGCTTGTTCCCGATGTAGTTCTTCACTCACCCCTTCTTCCCTGACAGGAGAGGGACACCATTTTGTGGCTTGCCTCAGGTGCCCAAACATCTTGGGCTGGCCCTGGGTGGCATTGGCTGTCAGTGAGGGGGAGGGGGTGCAAAACTAGAATTAGCTGACTCAGCCTGCCATCGGCTTTGGATCGACAGTGCCTTCCTGTCCAGTCTACATGGACACAACTGATAAGATAAGCATTTAAATACAGGTCCTGCTCTGCGGACTTGCTGCAAGCACAGGACACCTTTGGGTAGCTGCAATCTGGAGAGGGTGCTTATATGCCTCCTATATCTGGGGCCTAAAGTACTTCCTATGGCAGCCACATCCCCAGAAGGGCCATTTTGTGTTATGCCACGTTCCCACGGCAGCCATTTTGTGACTGGCACCCCAGGGCACTCCTTCCAAATTCCAAACGTGCCCACTGACCCCAAAAAGGTTGGTGACCCCTGCAGTGTGTGTGTGTGTGTGTGTGTGTGTGTGTGTACACACATATATACATACAACGACGTACCGTATTTTTCGCTCTATAAGACGCACCAGACCACAAGACGCATTATTCTCAGAAGCCAGAACAGCAAGAGGGATCGCTGCGCAGTGAAAGCAGCAATCCCTCTTGCTGTTCTGGCTTCTGGGATAGCTGCGCAGCCTGCATTCGCTCCATAAGACGCACACACATTTCCCCTTACTTTTTAGGAGGGAAAAAGTGAGTCTTATAGAGCAAAAAATACAGTATTTACCCCATACACACACACTTGGCCCTTGGTCCTCCACTAACATACATCCCATCAAAATGACGGATCCTTTGCTATCCAGAATAACCTAATACATTGAATTGGGATCAGAAGCCAAAGGTGACATTTATCACTGCCCAGCCTCCCATCCCATTTGGTGGGGCAAGCAAAACTTTCATTTTGCCCCATAATAGGTCGAAAGTGAAATGGGCAGAAGCTGCTGTATGCCCATCTCCCCCAATATTCCCTAATCTAGCTATCAGTGGCTTTCCAGGCTCACCTGGCAGTGGTGTTTCCCAACATCTGATGCTGAATGCCAAAAACTGAACCTGGAGCCTTCTGCATAAAAAGCATGGGTGGTACCATAGAGAGACATTCTCTTTCCCTGTCCTATTGTAGTCAAGAGTCGGTCCTCTTCTAGTCAACCCTAAACAAACATTGCCCAAATCACTGTTCTGGGCAGCCCTGGGTGGCCTAAGACTCTGCTGGATAGAGCCAAAGACTAATCTAGGCCTGCATCCTATATACCACAATGGTCAGCCAGATATTTATGGGAAGCCCATAAGAAACTAACGCTCTCCCACTATTGTTCCTCAGGGGCTGGTATTCAAAGGCATGGTTAGTAGCCACTAGCTACCTCAGATCCTGTAAATGTGCCCAATCCCCTTTTAAAGCCATCTACATTGGTAGCCATCACCGCAACAAATTTCCTAGTTTTAACAATGCTCTTGGTGAAAAAGCACTCCCATTTGTCTGTTCTGGCCATTTCATAAGGGATGGACCATGTGGCTCAGGGGTAGCATCTGCTTTTCACGCAGGAAGTCCCAGCTAGTTTCAGTCCCCAGCATCTCTAGGTAGGGCCAGGTGACACCCCTGTCCAAAACCCTGCAGATGCTGCTGCCAGTCTGTGTAGGCAATACTGAGCTAGATGAACCAATGGTATAGGGCAGTTTTCTAAGTCCATTCAGCGTCACTAGATGAGCTCAGGTTCTATTATTATGAGAGGGAGAAAAACACATCCATTTTTTCTGATCTATCTGATCCATCCCTCTGCACCATGAATAACTTGATGAACTTTTATCATTCCCCCTATCTTGTCTCTCATGACACCCTCGATTTCCCTATCTGGAAAGGATGCAAAGTGGACAGCAAGCCAGCTTTCACAAAGCCAGTCTAGGTAACACAATAGCATTATCACCAAATATCAAGACGAGCAACAATGAACCCTTGACACAAGATGTACACGTGCACAGCAGCAGCACCAGTACAAAAGTCTCCTACCTGATCCCAAGAAATAATCCTCTTTCCTTTGCTGTGGGGGGAAGAGAGAGCCTGGGTTTCTTGCGGGACCTAGTCTGTTCCAAATGATGCAGAAGTCAAGGCACTGGTGCTCAACAAGCAACTCATTTTTAACCTACTTGGCTGACCTGGCTAACATTGATTTACGGGGCACCTGTTCTTTTATTTTGCCCTCTCTTAATGAAGGGGTAGCTGAACTAACCCTCTTTAATTAGGCTTGCCATTGTTTGTAAGGACGCTGTGCTTTCCCCCCTTTCTCACCAAGTCTTCAGTGAGGTTCTGCTTTGGTTCTCATTGTCCCCATTTTGCAATCTGCTGCCCTTTAATTTCTCCAGAAGGGACGAGTCGCTCCATTTTTAATGAGGACAGCAACGGATTGATAATGTGAGCCTGCAATTAACTTCGCATCATAGGACCAAGTTACCTGAAGGATCACCATTCTCCTTATGATCCCAGGCCTACACTGAAAAGAGGGCCTTCTCAGTGGTGACACCCCAGTTGCAGAGAACTCTCCCCAGAGAGATTTGTTTAATATCTAATTCAATGGTTCTCAAAAGGTGTGGCAGGGAGTCGACGTGTGGCAGGGTGGCAAGTGTGGGGGGAAGATTCAAGGACAATCATTATTCTATTTTGGGAATGATTCATGCTCTTATGTGGCTACATTGTTCTATCCTTTCTGGGTGTCCCATGATCATATTATAAACTAGTCATGTTCATATATATATATGGTGTGGCACAACGAAAGTTTTACTCTGAAAGTATGGCTGAGGAAAAAAAGTTTGAGAACCACTGGCCTTATTTATGACAAAGGCTTTTTTTAATTTCCAAAGCTTTTTTAGATCCAGTTTTAATCCTGTTGATAGTTCTGTGCTTTTTACAATTTTGCAGCTTTTACTTTACTTTTTCTTCTTATTCTTCTTGTAAACCACCCTTGGAATGTGATTGAAGGATGGTATGAAAATACTTTAAAAAAAAAAAGACTTATTAAAACACACACACACCATCCACTGTTGCAAGACTATCCACAAGAAAAGCCATTAAGATTTAGGTTGGGAAACAATGTGTAACATTCAGGGCTCAGTTCTCACTTGAGCAATGTGCAGGGAAGCCAAGAGCCCTCGTCTCAAGACAATGGGACACCTTTAAGAATACCATGCCATTTGTAACTGTATTTCCTCAGTAAAGGTAAAGGGACCCCTGACCATTAGGTCCAGTCATGACCGACTCTGGGGTTGCGGTGCTCATCTCACTTTATTGGCCGAGGGAGCCAGCGTACAGCTTCCGGGTCATATGGCCAGCATGACTAAGCCGTTTCTGACAAACCAGAGCAGCGCACGGAAACGCTGTTTACCTTCCCGCCGGAGCGGTACCTATTTATCTACTTGCACTTTGACATGCTTTCAAACTGCTAGGTTGGCAGGAGCAGGGACCGAGCAATGGAAGCTCACCCCGTCGCGGGGATTCGAACCGCCAACCTTCTGATCGGCAAGTCCTAGGCTCTGTGGTTTAACCCACAGCGCCACCTGCGTCCCTATTTCCTCAGTGGTTACGGTTAATTGCATCACAAAAAAGGGTTTTCTTCCAAGCGGATTGCGGAATGAGTGTGCATCAATGGCTCATGTACCATCTTCCTAAACTACCATAAGGAGTTTGTTTTTCAACCCACCTATTCTTTTGCTCCAAAATGTGCCAAACTGAGCCTGCCGACCAAGAGCTTGATCGTGTAGCATCTTTTATTATTATGAATAGACAAAAAGATGCATAGAATAACAGTTAACTTCTAGTACTGTGTTTAAAAAAACTAATAGATCTAGTAAGTGGCATCACATTCCTTGACACGTTTCTGAATCTGCAAAACACAGCACTGTTGCCACCGTTCCAACTGTACTTACTTGCACACTTGGGCGTAAGGTCCATCATTTAGCAGAAGTCAGAATTTAGCAAATAGCTGTTTGCACCATGCAGAGGGTGCCCTCTAGTGGTGTTTGCTTTTATAGCCTGTAAAGCTATTGCTATGTGATTTTCTACGGCAACTGTTCCCTGTCAGTGTCCGAAGGAAACTGCTGTTACGAATAGTCACTGTGCAACCTATATTCATTTGCACTAATGCAAAAAAGTTGCACATGTTGTACGTCTTGCATCTGATGGCTTTTTAGTCACACATAGTAGCAAAGACTATAAAATGGGGAGAGGGCGAGCTTTCGGTTCAGAAATAATTTGTAGTAATTTAAAACATTGGATACCAGTGGCCAGTTACACTGTTGCTGTTTTATATATATACCATACTTTTCCATGCATAAGACTATGTTTTTTCTTTAAAAATCATGCTAAAAAGTGGGGGTCATCTTATACACAGGGTGGACGTTTGATTGGTTCCTGCCATGGCTGTCAGCAACTATTGTGCGTGTTATTGGTTGCTGTGTCAACGGGTGTTGTTGACTGGCTGATGCTCTAGCAGTTGGGTAGGCAATTGGCAGCTTCTGCCGGTGATGGGACAGACGGAAGGCAGATTTTGTGGCATGTGTGCGGGTGAGCGATTTTCGGCAATCCCCCCCAAAAAACAGCTCTGGGCAATCCTCCACAAAAAAAGCTCAACAACTCTTTTGTACCATCTCCGCTCATTTTATTAAATTTGAGTCCCCAAAAATTGGGGGCGTCTTATACATGGGGGTGTCTTATAGACGGAAAAAGTACGGTATATCTATAAAAACACTATTGGATATAGATGTAAAAGGATATTGCTTCCTCCTGCTGAAAAGCAGGCTCTAACAAACAAAAGCTCCTTCTGCAATAAACCCCTTAATGTGCCACAGTAAACTTTTGGTTGCTCATTACAAAAGCTTTCTACCCCTCTAGAAGTTGTCTTATTTAGATGGCAGCCATTCAATTACCCACTGTACCTGGGAAACTAAGTTGCCAGTTTCGGGCATGCATGAAATGTTTGCCCTAACTTACAGAGCAAGTTGGAACTACTAGGAATCAATGTCTCTCCAAAATTCTGGTTTAATACAGTATGTTATCTTTGCTATCTACTCTCCATTTCAGAATACAGTGGTACCTCGGGTTACATACGCTTCAGGTTACAGACTCCGCTAACCCAGAAATATTACCTCGGGTTAAGAACTTTGCTTCAGGATGAGAACAGAAATCATGCTCTGGCGGCGCAGCAGCAGCGGGAGGCCCCGTTAGCTAAAGTGGTGCTTCAGGTTAAGAACACTTTCAGGTTAAGAACGGACCTCCGGAACGAATTAAGTAATTAACCCGAGGTACCACTGTAGTTAGTCACATCTGGTTATGTAAATTATTTTACAACTCCTCAAACTGGCAGTGGCCACGTTCAGACAATTCTATCTGAACCTTTTGCTCAGATATGTGGTTCTCTTCGCCTCACCTTTGCTGCAATTCTCTAGTTAACCATAATTTCTCTATTGAGATGAAACTATGGTTAACTGCTTTGGAACACGCCAAGAAATTAAATCTGCTTCAAATTATGGCTTAACAAGTATAGTATGGCTTGTTCCAAAACTGGTAACAGTTTCCTTGGCTTGCTTGGACAAAATGAGAAACTATGATTGGAGATCATAGATTAATCATTGCTCTGGGGAAACACAGATAAATTCAGGTGGAGTCTACACATATATAAAAAACGCTGTGAATTTTTTTTACCATTTAAATATATATATATATACTGAATTTGCTATTAGATCACTAGCACCATCTAGCGTCACATTTGTATAATGCACTTAAAACACACTTAAAATGTTATTTTATAGCTGAGTCCCATTTCATATATCGGCTTTTTTAGTCAGAATCTGACTGTCTGAAATGGTTCACTACATGCATGAAAGAAAATCTATGTTGCATATTCACACAGCACGCATAGAAAATCCAGAAACTAGGGTAGTGCAAAAGGAGAATTTATTTACAGACCTATATATCATCCTGTAAATCACGGCATTAAAATAAACCCCAAGTTGTGGTTTTACTTCTTACATGCTCAACTCACCTTAGGATTATTGTACTTTCCCAATTTCATGTAGTAAGTATTATTTCCATCACATTCTCAATGTGGCTGACAGCTGAAATGATGTGAATTGGACAGCCTATTAGTTCCTATGGTTAACATGGCAAAAACCAGGAATGGAGAATCCATGACCTTCCAGAAGTTGTTGGACTCCAAGTCCCATCAGCCCCAGTGAGCATGGACAACGATCAGGGATGATGAGAACTGGGAGTCCAACAACAAACAGAAGGCAGCAAGTTCCCCATCAACACTGGGAGGGCAGGAAGGAGGAGGGACTACCTGAGAAAGCTAGACCTCACAACATTCACTGATGCAAAGTCCAATGAATGCAAGATTCGGAACTAATTGCTGTCAATGGGCAGGTGGGTGAGCTTAAGTAGCAAAGAAGTTGAATCAATTTGAGCCTGCTCCATTATATATATATATATATATATATATATATATATATATATATGCTTTCGTAGATTTTCCGAACCTCCATCAAAATTCAAAATATTTTCTCCTTGTCTAGTAAGCCTCTGCAAAAAGGAATACAACAGGTTCTCCGTTGGATGCCTACAAGTTCTTTCTACCAAATCAATATTTGTTCCCCAATAAAAATATTTGCTCTAATATAAAAAAGGGCTTATTGCAATTAAAGTGTAAAAACTGTGTAGGATTGTAAAATCCCATCCCCCCCCCCCAAAAAAAAGACCCGCACCAAAAGTTGAACAGGTATAGCAATCAACAAAGGGGTTGTCTCTCTCATTCCACCTCATCTTCATCTTTGGAAGCATAGATAGTCTGGTTCCGCCTTTTAATTTTCTTTGGCCCACCCTTTCCTTCTTCGCTTGTGTCACTTAGCCGCTTCAAGGGCGTTTCACTGGGGATCACCTCTTCTGGCTGGTTTCTCTCACTCAATTTCTCCAGTTCATCACTTTCCACAGTATCATTCGGCGACACGGCCATGGAACCTGGCGTGACCCGGATGTCAGAAAAAGTTGTTGAGACGTCAGAAGGGTGGCTGGCAGACGAGTCCACTGGGCAGCTGCCTGGCTCTTCTTCACCATCGCTGTCTTCATCCAGTATTATTTCATCAGGGTTGATAGAAGAGGACAAGCCAGAAACGTCTGTATTATAGTCACTGGGCTCCTCTGCTGATCTAGTACTGTCTACCTCCTCCTCCTCCTCTTCATCATCATCATCATCTCCATGCTCCTCCCTCAGTTGTTGGATTCGGCCATTAATGTCCAAGAGGCCAAACCGGGCACAGAACTCGGTCGTCTGGGGATTGATTTGATGAACGGGTTCTCTGTGCTCCTGGGATTTGTTTGAGTTATAACAGGGAACTGTGGTACTGAAGTTATGTGGAACCTTAAGGTCGTGGTTCGCCTCTTCCAAAACCGCCTTGATGTCTTCTTCTGTGACACTGTAGTCCCATCTACAAGAGGCCAAACACAGGGAGGTTCAAGTAAGGCTACCCACCTCTCTGCACCTTACATCTGAAAAGCTTCAGGACAAAAAAAGGAAGTGCTTCCTCACACAGGGCATGAACTGATATATGGAGATCTAGGGATGGTAATACCTCCTAACTTCAATGGGCCGGATTCAATTATCCCAGCATGCTAGAGGAATCCAGCGCAAGGGAGAGTTGGGAGTAGTGCAATCAATATCTACTCAGAAGTCCTATGGATTCAGTAGGGCTTACTCCCAAGTAAGTGGGGTTAGGATTGTTGCCTTAGTTGTTGTTTTTAATCTGACTGTTTCATTACTGCTCTGTAGTATTGGTGAGATGTTGGCAGAGGAGGCACAAGGGGTCAAAAAGCAGCAAATAAAAAAAAATACACAGACAACACTACATACTTTGCATGGAGTCCATTGTTTTCAGGCATATTCCAGGAATTTGGAGACACATTAACAAGATTGTTAGTAGCTTTAAGAACAGCAATCCATTCAGGGTCATATTCCAGGCAGTCAGATGCACTTGGGTCGTGCTCAATCTCTACAATCTTAGAAAACATTGGGAAATTAAGAAGACCTCTTGTCCTCCATAACAAGCAAGACCTGGCTGTGAACTTAAGGCACTAGCACCTCAGATAAATCTGCCCTTGCCCTTGCTACAGACTGCACTTCTCCCTTGTTTTTGGAAGGACCATGAAGCCAGGCTGGGAAACAGGGGTAGTCCAAGGGCCACATTCCCCCACAGGCAACCTTCAGGGGAGGCACATGTCACCAGTGGGCAAGGCAAGAGAAAAGCAGGTAAAGCAACAGAGGCAGCTCTTACTTTGTACAGTAAGCCACAAAAGCCAGACATTTACCTACACAACTCTCCATCCTCCTGGAGGCTTTGTCACAGTTCAAGGACACATCCATGCTATGGAAAAACACTCAAGGAGGATGGAGAGGGCTGCAGCTTCGGGAGAAGGTTCCAAGGGTCAAACAGAGCATCTTGGAAGGTCATATCTGGCTGACCATTTCTCCCCTTTTCACAGAATATTCTAAATACATGAGCCTTAGGCTTCATAACAATAGATACCAAACAGAAAATTCAGCATGTTTTACCTGTAGGAAGTCTCTGTGGGGCAGGCATTTATCCAGGGCCAGAAATTTTGTTGCTTTTGGCTCTTTCCCACTGCCATTGGCCTATTAAGTGGGGGGGGGACACATTAACAAAAAATGGCACATGCACCAAAGTCAACATTTTTGGCTACACAACAAGAATTGATGTGATTTATATGCATGGACATATGAAGCTGCGAGTCAGACCACTGTTCCATCTAACCCAGCAATGTCTATTCTGACTGGCAGCAACCCTCTATTATCTGAGATGGAAGTCTTTCTTACCCGGTGCCTCCCGAATCTTTGGTTGGAGATGCCAGAGATTAAACCAGCAAAACATAAATCCACAGACAGACAACTGTCTTCTGCCCTTCTGAAAGTACTAGAGGTTTGCTTGCCTATCAGTCGTTTTCACTTTTATAGAAATATCAACAGCGCAAAGAAGAGTGTGAAGTATATCATTACATGGCAGGCTCTCCAGTTTTGGCGCTGTGGTGTAAACCACTGAGCCTTGGGCTTGCCGATCTGAAGGTCGGCAGTTCGAATCCCTGCGATGGGGTGAGCTCCCGTTCTTCGGTCCCAGCTCCTGCCAACCTAGCAGTTTGATAGCACGTCAAAGTGCAAGTAGATAAATAGGTACTGCTCCGGCGGGAAGGTAAACGGCGTTTCCGTGCACTGCTCTGGTTTCGCCAGAAGCGGCTTAGTCATGCTGGCCACATGACCTGGAAGCTGTCTGCGGACAAACGTTGACTCCCTCGGCCAGTAAAGCGAGATGAGCGCCACAACCCCAGAGTCGTTCGCAACTGGACTTAACTGTCAGGGGTCCTTTACCTTTATGATTTCAAACAGAATTCACTAAGGGCTACTTATCAAAACAAACCAAGGTAAATTTATCAATAGCCTGTTAAGATCCTAACCACTGTTCTGGAATCCCCGATAAGCTTATATTTGAATTATGGTATTTTGAAAAATATTGTAATAGAGCACAGGTAAGGAACCTGAGGATGCTGTTGGACTCCCTATCAGCCCCAGACAGCATGGCCAGTATTCAGTGATGGCGGGGGCAGTTTCTCCACCCCTGCAATCTATTATGTATTTTGGAAGGCTGTTTGCTTAACTGTTCTCTATGCATTTGGACCTCCCTGAAGAGATTATAAACAAAATTTGCATAATAACTCCTGAGCTCAAACAACAGCTTTTTGTCTATGTTTGGAGACAACAGGATGCCATTTAGAATCAATATGACAGAATGAACCTTTCAAAACTGCAATGACTTATTTTGCTTCTCAGAATTCCCAAGCAGCGCCAGGTGCAAGCTGAGCTCAACTGGCCCCCAATCCAGAGCAGTTTGTTATTTTGAAACTACTGACAGGTATCAGGTTTCCTCCACTGAAGTTTCTCTGGAGCTCCAGCTTCCGTTAAAAACAACCATGGTGAAACACAACTGCACACATAAATGTCAACAGAGGCACAGCAAAACGCTCCAATTCTTTTACCTGGTGCTGCATGAAGGCAGCAAACTTCACATGCAGGTGTGCAGCGAACCAATAGGTTGGTTTCAAGTGCTCCAGAAGCTCTGAAGCAGCAGGACTTCCCAACGTATTACTCTCCACTTCTTGGCGGAAGAAGGCTTTTTTCCTAAGCAGCAATTTCTTGTCTCCATAATGATATATACTTCTGGGCCAGTCGTGGGACATAAATACATCCATAGGCTGCTTTAGCTGTTAAACCAAAATGAAAGCAACACAAAATAAGACAAGACGGCTGCTGTTGTGAGTAAAGGAAACACAGCACAGAATCACAGAATCATAGGATGTCAATTAATTTTTAGGGAAGAGGGGAAATGATTCAGTGGGCTTAACTGCATTAGTTTCAATGGGTCTGCTCTGAGTACGACTAATGAAGATGATTGTTCTTCTAAGTTTTGACTTACTGGTTTTTTCTTTTTGATTTCTTCTGTTAAGTAATATTTTATTGTATCTTGATTATATTTTCAATATTATATTTTGATTGTCAACATAGATTGTATTTGTTTTTGTTAACTGTTTTATTTGTTTGTTTTATTTTTAAAGAGCCAGCCAGTTCAGCAGGACCCGCTGAAACTTCCTGGTGTTTCTGCAGCTGAATGCAACATCCATGAATTATTATTAATATTATTATTCCCCTGCCTTTTTTCCCTGAGAGGAACTTAAGGTGGCTTAAAGATAAAATCAGAACAGCTTTAAACACGGGGCGGGGGACGGGACAATAATTTAAAAAACAGTTAAACATTAATTCTCATCCCTCTACCTAGCTGAGAGCTGTTGATGAAGAAATAACAAATAGAAACAACATAAAACCCATTTTTAAAAAGGTGTAAGCCCTTTTAAAGGCTATTAGAAGATCTGGAAAATTAAAAGGCTGGTGGCAGAAAACCTAGTGACAGAAAGATTAACAAGAACGGTGAGGGGATTAACAAGAACAAGAACAAATCTCTTGGGGGACTGTATTGCAGCTGGGATGCCAGCCCTTATCCCCGTGGTGTCACCCACTTTATCTCAGATGGCGATGAAGGTACTTGAAGGGAAGGGGCAGGGCTATGAAGAAGATCTTAACATACAGACAGGTTGATATGAAATTGGATTTACACTAACCTGCTTGAGCTTGAAGACTTCAATGTTTCTTACATGGTAGACACTTCTTATCGTATGTTGGTTGTATGGTGGATACTCAAAGTGACCTTAAGCAAGTTGAGAAACACTTAGCTGAATAAAAACGACAAAAAGGAAGACTTCCTAATTGGCTCTGATCCCCTGAAACAGCAGCATGGTGGAATGGGTGTTATATTCAACCTCCTTTGAGAGTTGCACAAGTGTGCTTACCAGTATACCACAAGGCCAGTTTCAAGGTGCTAATGATAATTTGTAAAGCCCTATACAACTTGAGATCTAGAAGCTTGATCACAGAATGCAGATGTACTATAATTTTAACAGATAGTATTATTTATGCATTTTATTTGCCCTCATTTTATTGTGCTGAGTGATGTTACTACTTTAAGATTAAATGCATTGCACACCACCTTGAGACTGCTTGCAAAAGAAGGCAGGCTAAAAATATTTTAAGTAAGTAAACGTAACAAGGAATTTAACTTCTTCCTATTTCATTCAATAGATATTTGGCTTTAGCACCGTCAATTGAACAAAGACCACACAACCTTACTCTGACATCCTCAAGAGGCAAGTAACAATTTTTCCTATTTTACTGAAGTGAAAACTCAGTCCCCAGGTGAGCAGGCATCTGAAATGAGGCCCTTTGCTGATCACAAGGCAGATGAGATAGAACATCACTACAAGCCAACAGAAAGGTGCAGAGAAAACCAGATGGACATTCACATCCTTTTTCTTTCTATCTGTATCTTATACTTTCCACACAGGAATCCGAGTAGCATTTGGGCCTCACAACACCACTTTGAATTAGGCCGTGGTAAAAAACAGTTATTTGCTCCAAGTTTCCCAGATAAGCATTTTAGTCAAGTGGAGATTTAAAACTGGGTTTCCTACATCCAAGAAAAACCCTTGATCCATTTTGCCACATTGATTCCCTTCAGCACTGCCACATCACAGGGATAACCAAGACCTGTTCAGATGTACCAATAAACTAGGGTTTTCCATTAAAAAATATGCTGTGGAGGGCATTGGAACCACATGCTCCCTTTTCCCCTCCTTCAAGCAAAAATGAAGATGAAATAATGCCTACTTTCAGTTTTGAATAAGCTGCAGTTTCCCACTACATCTGAACACAATAACCTAACTATGGTTAGTTCACACAAACAAACATCAAACGATGGTTTCAGATCCTGATTCATTAGCCACAGCTTCCCATTGCATCAAAACCAGGCTTCAGAATCACCTACCAGCAACAGACGCAACTCACTCTAGTGCAATAGCCAAAAATGAAATTCAAATTTAAAACAAGGATCTGCGGCATGACCCCATCCTAGACTTACCCTTTTTGTAATCATGAGATTTGAAGATGCCAGAGAGTCCGCCAATTCTCACCCCACGATACTTTACCACTCCAGCGTAACCTGAAACAAGAAAAAATTATGTAGATCAGCATAAGAAGTAGAAGACTGTCCAGGAAAACCACTAGCAGTACATAAAGTGGTTACTGATTCCCAAGAATGTGCTGTAATTCCTTCATAGCAAAGAAAAAGGTTGCATTCTGTAATGTGTATAGGGAAAAAAGTGTATTTTGGGCTACAATCTGCTGCTCACTATACTGGCCACACAAGGTCAGAAAAAGACAGAATTGGACCTAGAGATTTTGCTGATGCTACACTGAAAACTTTCCAGAAGAGCTATACAGGCTTACACTGAAAACATTCCAGCAACAAGAGTATACGACTTCACCTGCAAGATACTGACATGCCTAATTTTGGAAGGAAAGACGTGCAGTCCCCCACTATAAAGCTGAACTTCAATCTAAATCCTCAGCCCTATACTTGTGCATCCTAGGCTATCAAAACAGAAAGCAAAATGTTAATACCAAGGTAGTAGATGTTTGGTGCCACCCATCCGCCATATGGTAGCTCTTGCAAGTGATTGGAAGCTTCGTGGTTGCCCCCAATAAAGATGGTCAGGACAGGAGCCTTCTTCTCTCCAGAATAATACCTAGAACACAGCCAAAAGCCAAGGTCTTTGTCACTGGTATTAAGGATCAGCATATTCATGTTTCCTGATCAGAGGAATCAGGCCTATGGGTTTACATGCGTGCACATTGTATCATACATTGCTTCTGATGTGCAGCTGGGGAGGTGGGAGGTGGCACACAGTCTACTGCTAAGCGGAAAGTGCTCTAGGAATCACCAAATTAACATGAAACACATAAAGCAAACCTGTTTAATTGCACGTGTCAGTAGGGCATGCAGTGGAAGCTGGAGCATGTTTAGTCAGAAGTTAAGTCCCACTAAGTTCCACAGTCAATCCAACTAAGTCTGACTAAGCCACGTATTTCACCTTAACTTGGGACGCTGGATTTAGTTAACACACTACAGTATATGGATAAAAGGAGTGCATAGACTGAAAAGGACAGTGGGGCTTTCCCCAAGGCCAGTCAACTTCCTCCGTCTGCCATCCACACGTTGTGTGTGAACATCTTGCAGGGGGAAAACCTAAACAAACCTGTTGACTTCTACAGAAGGTGGAATCCTGCATGATCACGGTTTCAGTTCCTGCATAGATCTGTAGTGCTTCTCTTGCAGACACACTCCCGTGGATGTCAGGAGTAGAGAGAGAAAAAGCTGTGTAAAATTGGGATGGGGGTCAGTGGTGTGGCCCTGCCGTCCTTTCCTCTCTCAGGGTCCCCATGAAAATGGGGCTTAGGTCTTTCAGGAACACTTGACACTTGGTACAGCAGAGACTGTACTTTTTGAGAATTCTAAGGAAAAACCATCTTCCGCAGAAACTGCTGCTTGCCTTCTATCACTGTGCCATTGAGAGCGTGCTCACTTATGGCTTATGTGTGTGGTACGGAAGCTGTACTACCCAGGACAGGATGGGGTTGTGCAGAGTTGTTAAGGCAGCAGAGAGCATTGTTGGCTGCCCACTCACCACCTTAGAGCAGATTTATGCCACAAGGTGCCATAGGAAGGCACTGGACATAGTAAAAGATCCATCGAATCCTGGTTACTGTCTCTTCGAGCTCCTGCCGTCGGGACGGAGATACAGGACGATGAAGACAAGAACGAGCCGTCTTAAGAACAGCTTCTTCTCCAGAGTGATCTCGGCCCTGAATGGGAAGCCTGGACTTTGAAAGTCATCTAATCTTCCTTGCTGTATTATACTGCATTGTTTTAATTAGTGTTTTTATAGTTGTTTTGATTTTGTGTGGAGTGCCCTACCTGGGTGGATGGAGCAGCCAAGTAATTTCGTTTTCCCCGAGAGGGGGCAATGACAATAAAGATATATTATTATTATTATTATTATTATTATTATTATTATTATTGCTTTGCTATTCGCATATGGAAAACCTGGTGAAAAAGCACACCAAGAAAAACTTCCCCTGCTTTATGCTGTAGCCTTTCTGCCTACGGGAGCTGCTTTAACAACCTACCAAAGCATAAAACACAAATTATATAATATTTTACACACGTGCACACAATGCTTAACCAACTCCTCTACCAACCCAACAATTAAAAACCCCGCAAAGGACCCTGCACTCTGCGCGTGCTCAGAGGCACTCTTCCTTCAAGTGGGTTCCGGGGCGGAGCCTCCCCGGAATTCGAAATCCTGCTGCCTCTTCGCGGGCGACTCACCTCGCGAAGCCCCCCAAGCAGCGGTACTTGGCCGGCACCGCCATGCAGCGCAGGTCCGCCGCGTTGCGCACGGCCTGGAAGTCCCCTGCGCACAGGAGCAGATCCGGCGCCGCCTGGCCGTGGCGCTGCTCCAGCAAATGGAGCGTCTCGTACATCTTGTCAAGCGCGCCATGGCAGCAGCCGGCCACCGCCACCTTCATCTTCCGGCCTCGGCGCATGCGCCCCGGCGGCGGCAGCCCGGCCTGCGCAACGCACGCGCCTTCGACCGTTGCTTTCTCCGCATCGCGAGGCAGCCGGAGGGCCCCGCCCCGCTCCCCTGCCGCCGCTGCTACTGCGCATGCGTCCCTACTTTGCTCTCACCGAACGCTTGGAGGTTGCGCTAGAATTGCGACAATATCCCGCCGAATGATTTTTATCATCGCCAGGATGCTCCCCCCCCCCAAAAAAAATATCTATGGTCTTAACGTGGCTCCGAGGAACTTTTTGGTTCATTTCTTGTTTTATTATTAATCATCTTCATCGTTCATTATTACTGTTAATCGTTATAAGGAAACCAATCTCGTAATGGCACATATTACGATATTTCGTGTATTACCATTTCATATTATTATTATTACTATCATCATCATTCTATTCCTTACCCACCCTTCCGCAATTAGGTGGGCTGCGACACGATCAAATTAAAATGCAATATATCAGAATCGGTTTAAACAAAGGGAAGGTTAGAAACAGCGTTCACGTGAAAGTGCAGCGGCGAAAGAACAATGCAAGAAGTAAAATGCCATCAGAAATTTCAGTTAAAGCCTGCAAGTGTCTGACGTGGGGACTGTGGGTGTGGGCAGATGGAAGAAGGGGGATATTACAGTATTCTATAGCCAATAAATGCCATTTCCAGGCAACTTGTCTCGGGATTCAGGATCAAGCCTGATTTCTAAGCGTGCTTAGAAGTAAAACGGGTTTTCCTCGGGTTGCCATGTGTTCCGATCTGTCATTAAGGAAAGGGTTTTTCCCTTGGGAAGGGGGAAACCGCTCGGTCCCATTCTTTCAAGAAGCAGAAGTGTGGATAAGCCCTTAAGTATGTCCCGTTTAACTGCTTGGAGATCAGGCTTGTTCTTGAGACAATTTGCCTAGAAATGGCATTTACTGGCTACAAAAACATATATTCTTCCATCTGCCCACATACACATGTCAGACTCTTGCAGCATACCCTCCATCATTTCTCCTATGAAAATAGGGACGCCCCATTCCATAATGATAATTTTACTAGTTGTACTCCACACATCTTAGTGGGTTGCCCCAACCACTCTGGGCAGCTTCCAACAAATATAAAACATAATAAAACATTAAATATTTTTTTTAAAAAAACTTCCCTATACAGAATTGTCTTCAGATGGCTTGGGGGGTCAGATAACCCCATACACTCCAGCATTTCTCCAATGAAAATAGGGACATCCTACCATATCCGCGAGACGCGGGTGGCGCTGTGGGTAAAAGCCTCAGCGCCTAGGGCTTGCCGATCGCATGGTCGGCGGTTCGAATCCCCGCGGCGGGGTGCGCTCCCGTTGTTCGGTCCCAGCGCCTGCCAACCTAGCAGTTCGAAAGCACCCCCGGGTGCAAGTGGATAAATAGGGACCGCTTACTGGCGGGAAGGTAAACGCCGTTTCCGTGTGCTGCGCTGGCTCGCCAGATGCAGCTTTGTCACGCTGGCCACGTGACCCGGAAGTGTCTCCGGACAGCGCTGGCCCCTGACCTCTTAAGTGAGATGGGTGCACAACCCCAGAGTCTGTCAAGACTGGCCCGTACCGGCAGGGGTACCTTTACCTTTACCATATCCGCGGGTGGCGCTGTGGGTAAACGCCTCAGCGCCTAGGGCTTGCCGATCGAAAGGTCGGCGGTTCGAATCCCAGTGGCGGGGTGCACTCCCGCTGCTCGGTCCCAGCGCCTGCCAACCTAGCAGTTTGAAAGCACTCCCGGGTGCAAGTAGATAAATAGGGACCGCTTACCAGTGGGAAGGTAAACGGTGTTCCGTGTGCTGCGCTGGCTCGCCAGATGCAGCTTTGTCACGCTGGCCACGTGACCCGGAAGTGTCTCCGGACAGCGCTGGCCCCCGGCCTCTTAAGTGAGATGGGCGCACAACCCTAGAGTCTGTCAAGACTGGCCCGTACGGGCAGGGGTACCTTTACCTTTTTACCATACCCTCCAACATTTCTCCAATGAAAATAGGGAAGTCCTAAGGAAAAGTGGGACATTCCAGGATCAAATCAGAAACTAGGGTGGCTTCTCTAAATCAGGGACGTCTCTGGAAAACAGGGACACCTGGAGGGTCTGTTGCAGGCTTTAAGTGAATGTTACAGCACTAACAAAGCATCACAGAAATACAAACTAGCTCAATATTCTGGGGAAAGTCCTTAAAAGATTTTTGGAAGCAATGTTGCTTTTTTAGCACCCGCTACTAATGCACATTTATTCAGTAGCAAGTCTTATGGGTAAGCATGGAGAAGATCAGACTGTCCAGATTTGGAAACTTACAAGTTAAAGAATGCTGGTGACCAAAGAAAAGAAAAGAAAGCTAAAACAGAAGTGCTGCTTACATCTTCTTCCCATGAGCACATTATTATTATTATTATTATTATTATTATTATTATTATTATTATTTAGCTGCTTTACCCGTTGAAATGACTGGAAGCAACTTACAACACAACAAAAATACTAAAACTACACTAAAACAATAAAAACTTTAAAAAAAACAACCACAAAAATATGCACAAATGAAAGACACGTCTAACACATCCTGTCTTATCAAGAGAGCCCATGAATACTTAAAAAAACCTTTCAAAACTACATCTCCCATCAGCCCCAGCAAGGATAGCCAATGGCTATGGATGATGGGAGGTGTAACCACAAATTTATTATTAGTCTTTCCTCAAAGGGGAATGCACAAACCCCTGGCTCACATTGCTTGACCTTTTCTGCCCCTTTGCCAGCTCTTCAGCATTCTTTATTTAAGAAGAAGTATCCAGAACTATCTACAATAATTCCAGCTTGGCTTCACTTTTCCCCCCTCTCCTTCCAACAATGTTCCCATGGGATGATATAAAGGTTTAAGCAGGAAGTTATTTATGTGGGATGAGAGTTGGGTGTGGGTAGATGTCTTCATTACTGTACACCCTTGGCCATTTGTAATGGAGACGTGGCCTAGTTTCCCATGCACAGCAGGTATAAATAAATATCAACTGTTGGGGTTTACCAAAGCCTTCAAACAACAACTTTCACTCCAGAATTTTGATAATATCTGGTTGTTGCAACTGAGCTTTCCTCCAAGTTGTCGATTGCCTAATCTCAGAGCAAACGTAGCCAGCATTTTTTCCTCTCTCTCTAGGTCAATTGCTCAACCTATAGTGTAGGAAAATACCCAAATGAAATTAACTGAACCTGTTACAGAACCTAAATTACCTGTGGCCACACCTTCCTGAGCAATGCAATTGCATGTGTAAGGTAGGATCCAGTAGCAGCCACACTCGTGACTATTGGAGCAGTTTACATGCTGCAGCAACGGCAACAGCATTCTGCCCTGAACATTCAAGTTGCCATTCAGCTCAGAACATGGAGAGACTCTTGGCCCAGGAACAGAAAATGCCAGGGCCAGCCATACCCCAGCAGACTTCCTAATTTGGAGTGAAATGGCAATTTGCTTCCGGTCCTTTATCTTTTCTTTGATGCCACTTTTTGTGTCAGGTATGTGGTTATTTATGTTTGATCCCGGTTCAGAATGATGGGACATGGAGCTGGGGGGAAATTGCCTAGAACTAACTGTAACTTCCAGATCGCCTAGATTTTCTTTATACTGTATCTTAAAATGAGACTCTTCTCCAAGTAACATTAATTGGTGAAATCTGTTAAGATATGTCCTAGGGAGAAAGGGACTTTTCCTTCCTTCCTTCCTTCCTTCCTTCTTTATTTTTATTTTTAGAAAATGCTGTTTGCTGTTTGTTTTATTGGGGTGGGAGTTTTGTTTTAGTTAGCATGAGTTTGCCTTTTTCTGATTTCCTTTTACCTGCGTATTTTGTTTTTTGTATTCATGTGGTGAGGAAGGGGATGGAGAGGTGGGTTCTATTTTTGTTTGTGTGCTTATTTTTTGTGTATAGTCATTACAGCGAGGGGTGTATGTGTTGGAGGGATGGGTTGTTGGGGTGAGTTGTTGTTGGGGCGGATGGGGTGTTGGGGTGGGTGAAGTTTGAGAGAATGGAGGAGCGTCACCTGGGTTGGTTATCGTCTTCCAAAGGATCTACTCTATTCCGAACTTAAAAATGGAAAGCGTAATGCCGGTGGTCAACAAAATAGGTTTAAAGACTCTCTCAGGGCAAATTTTAAAATGTAGTATGAACACCAACAACTGAGAAACACTAGTCTGTGAGCCCTCCAATTGGAGAACAGCCTTTACCAAAGCTGTCATGGGCTTCGAAGATGCTCAAACTCAGGAGGAAAGGGAGAAGTGTGCTAAGAGGAAGGCACACTGGGTGAACCCTCACCGTGATCAACTCCCACACGGAAACCTATGTCCCCACTGTGGAAGGACATGTGGATCCAGAATTTGCCTCCACAATCATTTACGGACTCACTGTTAAAACCGTGTTCATGGAAGACAATCTTTACAACGAGTGATCGACAAAGAAGAAGAAGGTGTTGATGTGGGAAGGATCTCTGTGGATAGCAAGGGAGGGAGGAAAGGGGGAAAAGAGGGGGCTACACCAGTCTATTGGTTTGAGGTGCTTTCTGGGTGCTTAATTCAGCAGTAGATGTTGTTGCAGGGTTGTCAATCTGTGCTGTGTGGGTTTAGCTGAGGTTGGTTCATAGTCCTGTGCTCTGTGTTCAGTGGAGCTGTTCTGTGAGTGGTACTTGACTGTCTTGGTTTGCATTGTCATGTCGTTTCTGTTATTTCTTCTTTCTCTTGTTGACTGTCATTCAGTCATTAGCTGTATTTTCTCCTTGGCTGTCGTTCGGTGGGTCAAATGGCTGCCATTCTGGTGGAAGGTTAAGTCTGAGGTTCTCCAGAAGTTGCAGGGCTTCAGGTATGCTGGTGGCTGTGTGCTGTGTTGTGTCAGTTGTTACAATGAGGCGAAAGTTGGTACTTGATTCCTGCTTCTTGAAGACGTTGGATACATGGTTGCAGGTTTTTCTTCAGTTTAGGGTCTGTTGCAATAAATCCTGAAAGGCCAGGATGCGGTTTTCTCAATACTGGAAGTTGGTTGAGTTTCTGAGATTGTTCCATAT